ATTAAGACAAATGAGTTAACGCAAGTTAAATAACAAAAATTTTAATAAATGACAACTCAAAGAAACAGCTTTAAGATAAAAAAAAACAAAGTCATTTTTAACAAAAACTATCATTATTCAAATAATGAATTAATTGTCAAAGTTGTTAAACAAATAAAACCGCCAATGTAAGTGAGTTGTATTTCTGGTTGCATAATGAAAAATGTGGATTTGTAAGAAATAGTCCTAAATGGAATTAATTTTTCATTTCAGGAAATGAAAAATCACCCTCCCAATCGATTTCTGTCCCACGAAGCGCTTATTTATTCATATCTTTTGTGATTCTCATCGAAATTATAAAATAAACATTTGTATGAAGATAACGTCTTGTCGTGTTACTCATTTTTATGACATTTCGGGGTGTGAATTTTAATTATCTAATCGATTTTCGAGAAAGTGATGACGAATAAAGTAATTTGGTTTTAAATCACACCCGGTGTGATTAAAAGTTCTCATATTTTTACCAAAACACATTCAAGGTCACACGTTTTAAACCTTTTTGTTGTATTATTATTATTATTATTGTTGCCTAGTAACGATTTCAAAAGAGCGGGAAACTCGATCTGTGATTTGCACGTTGCCTGGCAACTGATTGTAAATGTCGCGGGAAATTTAAATTTGTTTTTTTTTTAACTTTGATTTGCCAAAATGTTGCAAAACCTGTCACTTGTTGTAATAATAATAATTAAGATAAACATTGTGATGAGTCAGTGTCTAGAGTCTCATTGGCAATCACCCACATTCTCGTATTTCTAATCGTGCATCTCAATTGCCTAATTAATTTTCTGTGAAAGCTATCACGGCGAACATGACACAAGAATCGCGCGCAATCTCTTATAATTTGATTCAAAATTACCGAAATTCCAGATTTAATTAAAATTACGTAAGTGGTGTGTGGCACACGTCTGTGTAAAACTTTTACATAATAACAATTTCTCAGATGTGCAAGATATTGTCGTCCTTGACTTGACCAAAGTGCCCCAATTCGGTCCCAGTTTCTCGCAGTCTTGATTCAGTCGCCAATCGATTTGTCCGTCATGCCGTGAAAATGAGGAAAATCGTGTATTTTTTCTGTGCGGCGTTTTTCCTTTGTGCAAATTCACAAAATCTCCTCAACGATTTTCGGCGTTTTTTCGGCGCGAGTGACATCACCGATACGACGAATTTCCGCAAAAGTTACGACTTTGTGATCGTGGGGGCTGGTTCGGGGGGCTGTGTTGTGGCGAATCGGTTGAGTGAGAACCCCAATTGGTCGGTTTTGCTGCTGGAGGCCGGAGACGATGAGAATTTTTTGACGGATGTGCCGTTGATTGCGTCGTTGCAAACCATCACGAGTTACAATTGGGGCTATAAGAGCGAGAGATTGAAAACGGCGTGTTTGGGGCTCATCGACGGGCGGTGTAATATGCCCCGAGGCAAGGCCCTCGGGGGCACTTCAGTGATAAATTTTCTCTTGTATACCAGAGGCACCAAACTGGATTTTGACCAATGGGAAAATCTAGGAAACCGTGGTTGGAACTACGACCAAGTCCTCCCTTATTTTATCAAATCGGAAAATTGTACGAAATGTCGGGAAATTGATGGAAAATATCACGGGAAAAGCGGTTATTTGAGTGTGGAACACCCGGGGTATGAGTCACCTCTAGTCAAACTTTTTATAAAATCGGGGGAAGACCTGGGGTACCAAAACAACGACCCTAACGCCCCCTATGGTCTAGGTTTTTCCAAAGTTTTGGCAACAATGAGAAACGGGATGCGTTGTAGCGCCTCTAAGGCGTTTCTCAAGCCGGTTTTACACCGCCCCAATTTACACATTTCGATTAAAACACGTGTTACTAAAATTCTAATCGATCCAAACACTAAACAAGCCTATGGAGTCGAATTTTTGAAAAATCGGCGCAAATTCACAGTTTTGGTAAAAAAGGAAGTGATTTTATCGGCTGGGTCAATTAATAGTCCTCATTTATTGATGCTATCAGGTGTAGGTCCTCAAAAGGATTTAACCCGTGTGGGAATCCCCGTTTTACAAAATTTAAAAGTCGGTTATAACCTCCAAGACCATATGGCAATGTCTGCACTTGTGTTTTTTGTCAATGAATCAATCACGGTTTCGGATCGGGGGGTGCAAAACCCCGTTGATATTTTCAATTATGTTTTTAACGGAAGGGGGCCTTATACTATACCCGGAGGGGCCGAAGCCCTAGCTTTCGTACAAACGAAATATGCAAAAGTCGGGGATTACCCTGATATCGAGTTGGTGTTAGGAGCTGGAGCGTTAAATGGCGATGTTTATGGCAGTTTGAGGAGTCTTTTGGGGATTCCCCGGAGTTTATTTGAACGGGTTTATGCCCCACATGCGTACAAACCGGCGTTTAGTATCGCACCGGTTTTGATGCGGCCGAAAAGTCGAGGAAGAGTTGTGATCAAAGATGGGAATCCCCTACATTGGCCCAAATTAATCCCCAATTATTTCGAGGATGAGGAGGATGTGCAAACAATGGTCGAAGGGATCAAGATGGCAAGTATTTAGGGATATTTCGGGTCAGTGTTGCCAATTGGTAAAGGTTACTGGAACACATCTCAGTCTCAGTTATTACGTAAAACTTTCACTTTGGTTGAAAACAATCAATTTCAGTCAATTATACAACAGTGTTTTATAATAAACACCAGTTTTTTTTCCCTATTTTCTTCTTTGTTTTATTTACACAGCTTGCTAATTATTTTGCACATCAATACAAGTACAAGGTGAACACTTGTGTTGTTATTGACCCACAAGACTGTCGCAATTGTCTTCAATTAAAACTATTTTCAGGCCATTACAATTACGCAATCGCGCTATTTTCAAAAATACAACATTACAATGATTACGACCCCATTTCCTGGGTGTGAAAATGTACCATTTGGTACCGACGCTTATTGGGCTTGTGCAGTTCGTCACGTGGCTACCACTTTGGGGCATCAAGTCGGCACTTGCAAAATGGGGCCCTTCAGCGACCCCGATGCTGTAGTTGACGAACAATTGAAAGTTTATGGGATTAAAGGGCTAAGGGTGGTCGATGGGTCCATCATGCCCAATGTGGTGGCCGGACACACCAATGCTGTGATAATGATGATTGGGGAAAAGGCTTCGGACATGATCAAACAAGAATGGACAAGAAATTAACTAAACCAGTTTTTTTTGTACATAAAATACGGGTTTGTTGCTTGTATAAGACTGTAATTAAATAATAAACGTAATTTTGTATCAATTCTTCTTTTTACTTGATTTTGAACGGTCAATTTGAATTACCCGCGTTTTGGTACCCTGGTAAAAACGAAATTCCCCCAGAATTTTATTGTTTATGTTACATTTTTGTCGAAAAAACCACTTTAAGTCAACAATACATGCACAATTTTGTTAATTGTGGGGATTTGACATGGCGAGGGTCCAATTTTTAGCCCTTTAGACCGGTTGGAGTCACAGTGATTAGTGTTTGAGGTTATGTCAGTTTGAGCCCCTTAAAATGAACCTCCCGGAGTCGGATAGCGAGGATGAGTTGCCCCCTGGTTGGGAGGAGCGTGTGACAGTCGACGGTAGTGTTTTCTACGCCAATCATTTAACTAAAGCCACACAATGGACTCATCCCCGAACTGGGAAGAAAAAACGAGTTTCGGGGGATTTACCCTTCGGTTGGGAGCGTTGTATTGACAAAACAAGCGGAAAAGTGATTTATGTCGATCATGAGAACCGTAGAACGACTTATACTGATCCAAGATTGGCGTTCGCAGTTGAGGAGAAAGACCACCCAAATGATTATAGACAGAGATTCGATGGGTCGAGTACAGCCCTGCAGGTGTTACACGGACGCGATTTGAACGGAAAAGTGGCACTAGTGACGGGGGCTAACTCGGGGATTGGGTTTGAGACGGCGAGGTCTTTAGCCAAGCATGGGGCTAGTGTGATTTTCGCTTGTAGAGACTTGGAAGGGGCCACTGAGGCGATTGCAAAAGTTAGGGAAGAGAAACAAGCAGCGGGGGAGAATTGTGTAGCTATACGTCTCGATTTGGGGGATTTACACAGTATTGACAGTTTTGCCAACCAAGTGAAAACAATGTTTAAACAAATCGATATGTTGATTTTAAATGCGGGGGTTTTCGGACTTGGGTTTAGTAAAACAGGGGATGGTTTTGAGACTACGTTTCAGGTGAATCACTTGGGGCATTTTTATTTGACTCTTTTATTGAAACCCTTGTTGGTGACGGGATCAAGGATTGTGGTTGTCGCATCAGAGTCTCATAGGTGAGGCATTGCCAACTAAAAAACGTAAAAGTGTTAAATTTTTCCAGATTTGCGAATTTGACCACAGAGAATATTTCCATGCAAACTCTCTCGCCGGAATCACCGGCCAAATACTGGGACATGACGGCTTACAACAATTCCAAGTTGTGTAATGTTTTATTCGTTCGTTATTTGGCTAAAAAGCTGCAACCGTTAGGGATTTCCGTTTTTAGTCTCCACCCTGGGAATATGGTGTCGTCAAAGTTGGCACGAAACTGGTGGCTTTATCGCGTTTTTTTCGCTCTTGTGCGCCCCTTCACCAAGTCCTTGCAACAAGCAGCAAGCACTACAGTCTTTTGTGCCACCGCAGTCGAATTAATCGGGGTCACGGGGGTCTACTTTAATAATTGTTTCCGGTGCGAGGAGAGCCCCAGTGCGAAAAACGACGATTTGGCCGAAATGCTGTGGAAATTGAGCGTGGAAATGTTGGTAGGAGTGCTTGGAAAAAATGTCTTGTCTCTAGACTTTTGAATAAAAAAAAATTCGAATCTGGTGTTTTTTGCTGTCATTTGGTGTGGTGTTGGCAATACCGTGGGTTGACATTTCGAGTCTCCAAAATAATCCCATGCTTTTTTCGTTAAAAACGTTGACAAAATTTAAGTTTTTGTGATATTAAGGTGAATTGTGTTAATTTACGGTGACAAAAATGCCCCGAGGTGAGTATCAACGCGTCACATTGTGCAAAATGCGTCACACCTTAACCTACTTGAAGGCAAATTCACGAACCACAAAGGCCGTAATCGCCGATTTACCAACCCGGAAGAACTCGAAGAAGAGAGACGACGTGAAGAACAGAAGAAGAAATGGAGACATCAACAAGGTGATGACACTTCAAGTAGCGAAGATGAAGCATCTGGTGATAAAAAAATAAGCGAGGAGGAATCTGACGACAGTGATGACAGCAGCAGTGAAGGAGAGGTTTGTTGACCTCAAAACGAGGATTTTTTATGATTGGGGGTTTCAGGTTAAGGCCAAGGGGGTCTCCAACCTTATAGAAATCGAAAACCCCAACAGGGTGCAAAAGAAGAGCAAAAAATTAGCAACTTTAAACACGGAAGTAGACAGTAAGCCCCAATTGTCGCGTCGAGAGCGCGAGGAAATTGAGAGGCAAAAAGCCCAAGCTCATTATCAGAAATTACATGCTGAAGGCAAAACCGAACAAGCTAGGGCTGATCTAGCGAGATTAGCAATTATTAAACAACAAAGAGAAGAGGCGAAAAAGCGTAGAGAAGCCGAACAAAAAGGTGATCACTCACACTAACATTTTTTATCTAAACTGAACATTTCAGAGAAAGAAGATGCGGCGAAACTCAAAACAGCTCAGACTCAAAAAGCGTTGGGAAAAAAGTAGAACCAATTTTCATCATGAAATTTACTATTTTCACTGTTTCATGTAATAATTCTTTTATAGCAATTAAATTCTACTAAGTTTGTGACTTTTGGTTTTATTTTGTTGCTCTCTAGTTACTTTTTTTGGTGCGGTTGGTAGTAAAATTAAATTTATTTGTAACTTTTATTCGAAGAAATTTTGTACAATATAAAAACAGTACGTAACTATCTACAATAATAAAATGATGGTTTGCAAAAATATGACTGCAATTCCCAAACTTTTGATTTGTCCTGTTGAACCCACAAATGGTCGTCCTTTGTCTAAGCTGAACCATTGATGGACATCAGAGACATCGCTGTACCCATGCTGGTTTTTGGTCAAAATCAAGCATTCATACAACGAATCTGGTACTAGATTCGTTATGCGAAAACTCTGAAACCTCTCACTAGTTTTCGAATCGTACTTCTGCTCCGGTTTTATAACTAAATCGTGCCATTGACCTTTGTGGTCATAAAAACTCGTTGCATTGATCTAAAACAGCAATTTAACAAAAATAATGACCAAAAAAATAGCCATACTCGTCGATAGAGGATTTTAACTTCGATAATTGGCAACACTGACTGAACCACCCATCTCAAATCGTAATACTCCGGGTTTGAATAAGCCGGACTTATAATACGTGCCGGTCCGGGTTTTCCGGTCAATTCGATATACTTCCGGTCCTTTCCGATCGAATTGTGCACAGTGCAACTGTAATTTCCGAAATCGGAAAATTGGACATTTTTTATATTCAACGAATAGATTTTCCCTTTAGTTGACATAATTCTTCGATCGGTTTGTTGCAAAGGAAACGAATTTTGATACCAAGAAACCTGAAATTTCTCATGGCGGGAAAATAAGTGAGGTTATGTTTGGTTCAAACCTCTCCGGGAGGATCCGCATGCACGACACAGTCCAATCGGGCCTCCAGACCCTCACCGGAGTTTACCCACGATTTAGCGACGGTGATTTCCGGCGGAACTATAACAACATTAAGAAAAAAAAAAACAACTAAATTTGAAAACTCACAAAGGACGTGGAGTTTGATTTCTCCGGTGACGGCTTGTCCGATCCCGTTGGAGGCCGTGCACTGATAAGCGCCCGCATCTTCGCGTTGGACGTTGGTTAGTGATAAGAGATACCCTGTTTGCACTTGTAACCCAGATGGTAAAAGACCTTCCTGAATCAAAGTGAATTAAAACGAGTCAAAAACCCCTAAAACTTACTTTTTTTGACCACTGAACCACCGGTGTGGGATTCCCACTCGCCCGGCATTCGAACGACACCGTCGCCCCCTTCCGACTGGTCAAAACATCGCCACTGTTGGGGAAAATCTGGATACTGGGGGGCACTGTAATGAAAAATTACAACTAATTTTAACATTGCCATATTCCATTTTATTTTATCAGCGAAACTTCAACTCCAACTGTTTTTTGCCAGTGTTGTCAGCGTGTGTTACGCGCCCGTATTTTCAATTGTTTTTCCTTATCTTGTCTCATTTTGTACAAAAGCGGCCATTGTTTCGCGTTCATTGTTTTCGCTCGCCAAATAACGATGGACACTGAGTTCGAACTTTATTAAACGTGTGGCTCTTTTTCCAGAGAAAAATATGCAGACTTGAAAAAAACCTGTACAATAGGCAATTTTTTGTTCCAAATTGCTTGTTTTTTTTTTAATTCGCGCCAAAAAGTAGGATGTTGTTTAGCAACAACATCATCCAGTTGGTAACTTTCATTTAAGTTGGCACAATTTTAATATTTGCAGACTCGGTTGTCTAAATTAAATGGCGGCCATTATGTCAAAATGACATGCGCAAACAATCGTTCAAGTGAAAAAAATTAAATATTTCGAAACAGTTCACGAAAAATTGCGTGGTGTGAAAATAAATCGTCCACTTTATTTCGCTGCTTTTTTCGATCAAAAATATGCAGACTTGGAAAAAAAAACGGTTATTGACGATTCATTTTTTGCTACGAATTGGGATGTTTAATTAAGCGGTACGTGTTTTGTCGTGTACGAGAGGCAATTTTTGTTCTTTTTTTAATCATGTTGCATCAATCAGTTGGGAATTTTCATTTAAGTTGGCACAACTTTAATATTGGTGATTCGGTTGCTTAGCAACTAAGTTAAATGTCAAAGTGACAGGCGCAATGGCCGACATACATAATCGTTTAAAAAGTACAAATAAATCGTCCAGTTTTTCCCTGTCCATGGTCGGCATGCAGATGAAGCGTTTTTTTAGGGTAAAAGAGGGTTTGTGTTTTTGTCATGTTTGCGGTCTGGGTTTGTTCGGGACTTGTTCGAGTTAATACAAGCGAGGAACGAGCGAGCGCTCACTTGAATTGAGCATTAACTGCTCCCCGAGGGCTCGTATTCTACATTCAGTTAGATGCCTGTTTAGATATAACTATAATAATTTTGCATTAAAAAATTTAATAGATTGTAAATTTTGAAACGGCGATATTTTACTTTGAAAAGTTGAGGAATAAGTTGAATGGGGAATTGTATGACACAATTACTAGATAAATAAATGTATTTATTGTGTGAAATGTCATAGGCAATAATAAGCGGTGGAAAGCAAAACCGCTGTATGAATATTTATACCATCATTCTACTTGATTGCAAGTTTAAAATGCAAAGCAGTCAATTTGCATTCATTAAAACCGGGGAGTTTTACTGATCAACCCTCTCGCTCTGTGCAACGGCACGTTGTGTGTCGGGAAATAAGACAACGTCTGTTTTTGATGTTCACCAAAGCGTCCTCTTCAATTTGCATGTATTTAAACTTGATTCCTATCGAGCTTTTATTTTTCACGGAAGCTGCATGGTCCGACGACATATGCCATCCCAAACGAAAAAATCATTGCAAAAACAACCTTTGCTATAATAATTTTCCTGTTTGTTATTCTAAACTTTTTTAATTGATGCAAACCAAACACACGAGCAAATTAATTTATCGCTAAAACAAACATTCACCGTGCGCTGTTTCATACAACCAGACAATGCCCACCCCATATGTACACCCCATTGTTATACACAAGTTGGAAAAAGCGACCGCTCGTTGTTTTTCATGATTCATGACCACCGTAAAAAATTTACAATATTTTTCTCTCGGTGTCACCCTCGAAGGTGAAAAATTAATCGTGATCCGCCGAGGCCTTCCGGGTGTCATTTGTATGTTGGAAAGTTTCTCTAACTCGAAGGGTTCACCGACGCGCTTCGCTCCGGGCCACTTTTCCATGGGATCAGACAAGTTGGAAATTCAACATCTCTATTTAGTCGCTCGAGGCTGACACGTGTCGTGTTTCTACAAAACCGAGATCTCGCTATGACAAATTGGGGATATATGAGAGGGATTTCTTCGCTCTCATTTAATCGCATTACGTGCCCAAAGGACACACTCATTTCGCCCTAAACCGCATTACTCCGATTGCTTCAAAACTCGCGCCGCAATCGTTATTAATTACTGGGGGAGTTTCGTCCGACCAGCCCTGAGTTGGCACCATTGCAATGTTGCTTAACAACGCAATTAATTGATGGGGAATTTTCACCCGTTGGTACCAATTTTGCAATGTTACTAGATGTCAAAGTGACAGGCGCAATGGCGGGTGTGTTTGAAATGAGTTGTGGTCACTCACTGAGGATCTCGACGGTGTGTATGAGGTCCCCATGCGAGCCGTCGCCTATTTGGCAGGTGTAGTCCCCCTGGTCCGAGTATCTGATCTCCCTCACTTCCAGATTGTATCCCACTAGCGATATTCTGGGATCGGCTGTGATTTTTTGTTGACCGGCTGTTAAAAGGGTGATGCCTCGTTTCCACACGATAACGAAGGAACCTGCAACCGAGAGACAACAAAGAGTGAGGTGGTTGTGGTGTGTGGGGCTATAAAAGAGCAGAGAGGAATTGGTGACGCTGCAAATACGAGAGTGAACGACACTTGGCCCTTTAAATATCCTTCCACTTTCCATTAACAATCCGGCTTTATGTCCTCGTGCATTGTTTCCAAAGCCCTGCACTATTATCGCCCTTGTTCGCAACAATTACAACACGGACGCCATTATTTCAGCTTCGAAAAAAGCTGACGAATTTTCCATAATTCGATCCAGTTTTCAATTTTCACAATGCGGTTTGCTGCCGGCGCTGGAAATTTAAAACTCGCGAGTGCATTCTTGTGGAAAAAATTGCGAATTTGAGGATTTCAACGATTAATAAGCTTGCGATTGGATTCAACTCCGTAATTAGGTACAACACAACACCAAAAATAGATTGTGGTGACCACGGAGAATCTTTGTCCTTATTATATTTAGGAGTCCTCGCATAACTTAGTTTCCTGGAAATGCAATCAAGCGCATAGAATGGAAATGCGATTTTCCACACTACATTACTCTTTTATCGGATATTTTCCGCAAGAAAACACTTGAGCAATTTCTTTAAGACTGTCTCGACGAAAACTGTACGTCATTATTATTTATTAACTTGTAAAAATCCCGCTGAAACGAGTCAATTTTTAATCCTTCTATGAATAAAACTCCACTCGGACTATTCACCGTTTCGGTTTTATCGGGATCATCAGTTTGCTTTGTCGCTTTGTCATTCAAATAAAAATTTTAATTATTCAAAGGGGCCGTCTTTTCATCATCGGTCATCCCTCTACTAAACTCGCTTTTTTTCCGAAAATTATTTTAATATGTAAATCGTCTAAATGCACCCCTTCACTGAACAAACAACGATAAAAACCGAAACACATGGCATGGCATTAAAGAGGGTAAAACGATCGAATTACCGGTGGATTTCAAAGGGTGTACCAACCAGTACTAGTCTCTAACGAATTTTTGACATGAACCGCAGCATTGATCGTGCAATTAGCACGATTGCAAATGCCAAATGAACCTGAAGCATCCCTTAATTAATTAATCGGGTTAGACAAACCTGAGCGATAATCATTCCGAGATCAGTTTTGTTTTTCCCGCTATAATAAATGGCTTGGTTGCTAGGCAACTAACACTTTTTTCGAAGTCTAGCCAATCATCAGAGCTATAAAATGGCTTGGTCGCTAGGCAACTGGATACTTCTTTGGGAGTTTTATCCAATTGCCAACCTTAAAGAGCTAAATGCACTAGTCGTTTTCCATATTGTGATTAGTTTGATCAATTTCGTGGAATAAAATTGGCTCGTCAGTGTTTTGTTTTAGTTGAATGATCGGCATATGTACACCCACACTTGCAAACATACATAAAACGGGTGCATGCAGATATATGCCACCCCTTTACCACCCCCCGTGTTTCACCTCTCCGATCCTGTTTACAATTTATATGTAAATGAGTGCGGTCCAATTACATAAAGCCGCCAGCGGTTAAACTCACAGAATACCGTCACACCGCCACTGCCGCCGCCGCCGCCGCCGCTTTTCATCATCTCCACAATATTCGAATTTAATTTCTCTTTAATTATAGCTTAATAAAACTTAAATACTTGCGTCGTAAAAATTACCCTCACTGTCGCTGGTAACAATCGAGCAACTTATTAAAAGTTGTAATCTGCCTTTTCCTTGCCAAACTACTAATTGCCTTTTGTGTTCGCTCGATATTTTCCGAACTGATGGAAAATGTTTCCTCTTTTATGATTTTCGATTATTGAAGGTTTTTAATTATCGTGACGATCGAAATTTTACATTTTCCGTGAAAATTGCAAAACTCGTCCAACTGTTTCATCAAATAATCATCAAATTCATTTGTTTTTAATGAATGGTATTTGTCATATCCATGACAACGCTAATAAAGCATCAAAGTGGGTGCTTTAAAGACTGGACGTCAAAATAGCGAATTTTACACTCTATATACAGGATGCGCCAGAACTCGCGCCCCAAAGAAACATTTCTAGTAAGATAAGATTCCAAGAACTGGAAAAAATGTTTAAAAAATTCTATCTGTCAAAAATTTTTGATATTTGACATTTTTTTATGTCTATTTAATGATACTAATGATCTTGTATATGTTTTTTTTACAATTACTTAGAAAATTTTGCTAATAAAAGCCACAAATACCATCAAACAGAGTTATAATTTAGGATACAGCTTCTTTGTTTCTTCTTCTAATAGCCTGTAGATAAAAAACTTGGAAAATTATTTTTCCAACTGAAATAAATAGAGTCAAAGTGCAAAATTTAGACTCTCATTTTTATAGATAATTTTTTTCCTGTTCCTGGTATCTTGAAATTTTTCTCTGGAGCGCGAGTTCTGGCGCACCCTGTATATTAGATTAGCCTCTGTGCTAATGCCGGGCTTAACTTGACTCGATAAGCAAATACTAAACGGTCCAACGAACCAAAATTGCGAAGGTCGAATCGAATACCGAACAGAGAAAAGGACTCTAAAACGAACATTGACGGATAATACTCTCTATTTCGCATTTGCACAGCTTTAGACTCAATTGCTGAAAATTTCCAATTTTTTCAATTCGCGCTTCAGTGGGCGAATTAATTACAAGTCCGCGCCACAAATACGCGAATGTGATGTGATGACGAACTTAATTTTTCGCCCAAAATTCTTAAATAAATCGAAAATAATGATTTACGATCGGAGAGAAACAAATCGTTCGCTCGATTCGTCACTAACATGATTGATTATTCCAGATTTTTTGTTCCCTTAAATTTGTGATTTATGACAAGTGCTTGCGGTATTCATTTGTCAATTTAAATAACGTTCAATCGTTCTGAAACAGACACTTTTCCCGACCCAAAACTAAGCACAGAAAGAGAGAGCAGCTTTATGCAAATTAATGTGTGGAAGTGCAACGGGAATTGTGACGTTTTCGAGTTAAATAAACGGTTTTTCCACTTTGCCTTAAAAAACCTATTCGAGTATCGTGTATTATGAAACGCAACATTTTATTTCCTGAGGTTGGTAGCGGGCGCAAACTCAAAAATGCCCAAAACTAGTAACAACCTCACAAATGAGATTATTTATATTTTTGAGAATCTTTAAGTTTATCACACTTTAAACAATAAACCAGTAAAGTATACTTCTGTTTTTCTAATCGTTTTTTGTTTGATTTTCTTGAAGAGTGTGAGCCACACTGACGCGAAATGTTGCCAAATGTCAGAAGTGTCAAATTCAATGATTGAAATCCAACGGACTCTTGATTAAGGTTTTTTAACTTAAAATTTATGCACTTTTAGGCCTTTTTTCTCTATAAAACTCTACTATTTTGTAGAATTATGATTGAATTTTTGTTTTTTACTTTCATTCAATATCTATCTTTTGTCCTTTTCTACTTTTAGTGCTTCCAAATTTAGGAAAAAAACAATTATTGTGCGACACCAAGAGTGCCTTGTATTTTTAATCATTTAGTCTGACACTTCTGACAGTTGTTGACATTTCGAAAAAAAGGCGCACACTCTTTAAGAAAATCGAACGAAAACGATATAAAAAGGCAAAAGGGTGATGAAAATAGTGTTTTTCTATTTTGCGACTGAAAGAAAGCTTATTTCGATACCAAAACCGATGCTTTAATGAGCCGTTTCAACACCAATTCGGGTGCTGAAATACACTAGGACAATTTACTTTCTAGAGGTTGGTAATGGTGATTCAGCGGCGTTTTCAAGTCGTGTACATGAAATATTCATTGTTAATTCAACAAAATTTTGGAAAATACTTTGTGACATTTATTACCAACCACAGCAAAGGTTCCTAAATTTTGTAAAATCGATTTTTATGTTCAAAAAGTACGTAAAACGCCCAAAATAGAAAAAAATAGCATAAAAAAACTCGTTTCATAAGTCATAACTTGCCTTACGAAACGCGTTTTTTAATATACTATTGTGTAAAGGGTGGTGTTGTTTTTTTCCAAAGTGAGTGTGAGTTTTAAATGGGGGCTATGCCGCGAGCCCCCCATGATTTCTACAATACATTTTCGATTCCGACAGATTTGACCACCTTTTCTAGTTAGCAATTCAAACATTTGTGATAAAAGATAAACCGCCCGCATTGTTCCGAAACTGGCACGCTGATTTCTATTTGGATATTATTGGGCGCCAAATTCGAAAATAGAACACACCGCTTCTGAAATTTCATGTTGTGTTTTTATTTTTATTTATTTTTTTTTCATCCCGGATCCTGTTTTATCTCGGTTAACGTTTACAGCACTGGGGAGTAGTGCTCGGCCGGCTTTTAATTTGTATGCAAATTTCAGTGGTTAAAATAAAGCGCGACGACTGCTGTCACAACCGCCTGAATATTTTCATCTGTGAAAAAAAAAATTGCGTTGAATCGATTCGGTAACAAGTCTCCTAATCACGACAATTAATTTAATACGGTCGCAATTGAAGCAATTTCCAACTCCGAGACCGAATGCAAAATCCCTCCTATTTCAACGTCCAAGTTTAATTGAAATGCTTGTAAAGCGACCATAACGGGTTATATTCCGGGGCGGTCGTTACGAATAACACTCGCCAACGCCCTGTTCGGCCCTAATTTGCACAATTTTCAATTCCGTTTGATGAAAAAAAAAAAATAAAAAATTGGGGGACTCACCCAGATTTTGCACCTCGCATGGTAGTACGATGGTATCGCCGATAACGGCGCTGAACGTGTTGGGCTGGGAGGTGAATCTGGGCAAAATTTCACCGTTTCGGTAACTCGGACCTGAAAAAATCTTGAATTAGTTTATGCATAGAATGATTGATTAGGCCACATTGTTTAATATCGACTAGACTTGAATTATAAATGGTCGGAACAAACGAGACAAGTTTCGATTTATATTCAAATTTAGTTTGGTAAAGAGGAAAAAAAATTCGACTCACCTGAATTGAGAATAGCCACACAAATTTCCCCTAGATAAACTACCACCACGAGGAAAAAAATGAACAAACGACGCCGCATTTTGTCTCCTCACTCGATTTTCAGCATTTTGTTCGATGACATTTTTCGTTCTTTCAAATTACACGAAATACGCGCCTGAAAAGGGCATGAGTCGCTCCCTGAAACTCGACTGCTTGAATACTACTGAATGAAAAGCGGCGATAAACCGGGGGTTCGCTACTCGGATAAATTCGAATATGCGCTTTCTCGGACATTGGATAAATTACACATTTTAATTCTTTTTACCGGAATACGCAGCTGAACGCGAAATTTCTAATTTATGACCCGCCGTTTTTCACACTTTTTGCCAAAAACAAAGATCCAAACCGCACAATTAAATTGCCCCGGAGAAGTTTTAATTTCGAAATTCGCGCCAATAATTATACCCGCTGCTATGCAACGCAAAAGTTTTGATAAGACGGTTACTAAGCAACGCATACTTTTTGCCATTCTTAAGATTACCAACATTAAGAAAAATTGAAAACAAAACAACGATTGAAATTTATTCGTTTATTGGATTTACAACTCGTTTTTTAAACGTCTCCTGGCTAAAATAAGCATTGTTATATTAAATCAAAATGATTAAAAATCTAATAAACAAATTTTGTGATTTTGTCATTTTAGTACTGATCGGTTATTTTTTTTGGCAAATAAATTTATAGGTGTGCAATGGCTATATAAATGCTATTCAAAAAAAATTTGAATATCAATTAATTGATGGAAACCTACCACAATTTAAGATTTCAATTTATTTAAGAAAAAAAAATATTTGTATGGTAGTCTCAAAAGTTTAAACAATTAATTAAAATAACATTTATTAATTTATTTCCAAAGAAAAACCGGTAGTTTACGCAAAAAAATTCTTGTAAGTCAAACATTTATTTAACAAAAAGTGTTAGTGTTAGTGTTACAAAATAAAATTTGCACAGCAACAATTTTTGTAACAAGCTCATTGTCTAAAAAAAAATTGTGGTAGGTTTAAGAAAAAAAATTGTTACTATGTTTATATCGTAAGTATAAACAATTAATTGATATTCAAAATTTTTTTTAATAACATTTTTATAGTCATTGAACACCTATAAATTAATTTGCCAAAAAAATTAATAGTTTGGCAGAAAAAAAATCGTTTACAGACTTCTGGACCATTCTGTATAAGCTGTTAAGGATTTACGTTTTTATTTGTTTACTGTTTTTAATAATCATGCACGGTTGTAGCATTTTATTGTTAGAAATGAACGGTTTTAGCATGCAATTTAAATTTTGGTCAGTTTTAGTGGCGCACTTTTTTAATATTGCAATGACAGTAAATAAATATTTACTTGTAAAATCGTGTACGTCAGTGAAAATTGTTTGCGGTGTCGCAATTTTCATCCCTGGAAAAATCAATTGGGGTGAATTTTTTTCCCCAAAAACCAAAAATTTTAATTTGACTTTCAAAATTCGCGCTAATTTGATGAAAGTAAAAAGCCCGTTACTAGGCAACGCAAAAGTTGATAGTTCGGGTTACTAAGCAACACATTCATAACATTACCAACTTTAAGGCGGTAAATTTGAAATAAAACAAGTAAAATTAATCGTTTATTGAATTTAAACCGCAAAATGCGTCCGATGGAATCCTTGCCCTGTAAAATAAATTAAACAAAATCGTCAACGAACAAATATTTACCAATGCTTTGTAAAATCGTATACGCCAGTGAAACATCATTCACGTGAAAAATATAACAAACAAAATTGTTTGCGGTGTCGCAATTTTCATCGCTGCAAATTCATCAATTGGTGTGATTTTTTTTTTTTTTTGGCGCCAAATTCAAACATACCCGGCTATGTATGCGACATAATTGGGGGAATTTTGTGCCGATCCACAAGATGAAATTTGCATGAATGAGTGTTTGAGCAGAATTTGGTTTGTCTCCAGATGTGTTATTTTGACGTTAATTTCCCCAATTTCGATACTGACCGGTTTCCTGTCGCCAATCTCGAATTTGTTCAAATGAAATTTGAGCACTTCTTCGATTTGCCTCACGCTACCCTTGCAACCCACATTCACACAGCCCAAATACGTGGCTTTGAAGCCGGTTTTTGGCTCGTTTTGGGCCGTTTTCTCGTGGTTTGTGTCCAGTTTTAGGTCGCGGAGGAGGGTTTTAATAGGGGCGAAAATATCGCCATTGTGCGAGGCTTTAATTATAATGAGATTGATTGGACGGCCTTTAGATAGGCGCAGAATTGTGTTTAAACGGCCTTTACAAGACGAGGTTATTTCAACGCCGTTCAAATTCGCTAAAATGTCACCGATGGAGATTTCGCCCTTGAAAAAAACTATCAATGGGGGAAGTACAGAGAAGGGGATGAGTACTGATTCGGATGCGACGCTGTTTGGTCGAATGTGGACGACTACAGCGCGATTTTCTGAAAAACTGACACGAATTGAATTTTTGGGGGAAATTTCTCAACGTTGGCAAACCTGATGTTGACTCCGAGACTTTGACATGGGACTAATTCGAGTTTGACCCGATCGGGGATCCCCCAAGTCAAGTCCAGGAAGTAATAATTTGACAAATCTAATTGAAAATTGATTTTTTTGCATTGCAATAACACTGATGAGAAAATCGTCGATAAAATTTCATCACCAATTATTGAATTTTTCTCATAAATAAACGGTTTTTTGTCCGATTTGTTCTACAATTTGTGTTGAGTTTTAAATGACGTAGCTAAGGGACTTACCAAGGCTTCTAGGGGAAAATGTAGACATTTATTCACCAAACAGTGGCGAATTAAAAGTCGAAATTTCCCTACTGGGGTTGTAACACTTTTACATTTTTGGACTTCTTGGACGCTATTTTTGTAAATAAAGTCAATGAGGTCGTCACCGGACGATATCGTGGACATCCATGCGAAAACTTCGATTTTTTTACTGTAAAAATTGTGTTTTTCGATCAAACCTTTGTGGAAAATCGCCTCGATGACGTGACAGAACTTTTCCAGATTTTCACTCGAATCTTTGACTGTCGTTTCGTGGAAAAGGCGTAACGTGTGACCTGGAAAAAAATTTTCTTTCTCAAAATTCCGATTTTTCACGTCAAAAAATGCAAATTTCTAAGTCTAGAATTGGAATTCGTCGTTCATAATGTAAATTCCAAACTTTAGGTCTCAATGTTTAAATTTCCATTCTAATTGAAATTTTTTTGAAAATTCAATTCAAATTTTGCGCCACAACACGATTGATAGGCAACACAAAATACCGATTGAACCACACTTTACCTAAATTTCCATGAAATACGAATTAAATAAACCACAAAATTAATTGAATTTTCCTTAAAAATCGAATCTTTGAAAACATAACCTCTTTATTTTATATCTTTAATTAACGCGAAACTTGTATTTTCCAAATTTAATAGCATCAGTTTCTACCATTTCTGTATTTCAATGTATAAAATCTTTGATTTGTGTGTGAATTCCTGTTTTAATTAAAATTATTGACATTTTTAAAGAACTTAAATTCGCGCCGCAATTCGATCGATAGGCAACACGAAATACCGATTTGAAACACATTTTGTCTAAATTTTCAGAAAATATGAATCAAATAAACCGCAAATTGCGTCGAAATTGAATTTTCACTTGAAAATAGACCCTTTGAGGGTAAAATGTACAACATAAACTCATCTTTCCCAAACTAAATATTTACTTTTAATTTCAATAATTAACTTGAAACTTGGGCTTTCCACCAGTTTCTAGAAATTCCGTACCCAAATGTGTGAATTCATTAATTTGTCCTGTTTTAACTGAAATTATCAAAATTTTTAAAAAACTCAACTGAAATTTAGAGCCACAATGCGATCGATTGGCAACACTAAATACCGAATTATCAAAATTTTCACAAAATAAACGGCAAAAGTGCGACAAAATCGAATTTTCCCTAAAAAAATCGACATTTTTGAAAACGGAATTTGCACATAACCTCAACTTTTCCGAAAACTAAATATTGTAATATCTTTAATTAGCGGGAAACTTGGAATTTCCAGGTTTCTGAATGTGTGAGTTCCTGATTTAACTGAAATTACTGAAATTTAAAAAAGCTTGGTTCAAATTTCGCGCCACAACTCGATCGATAGGCAACACTAAATACCGATTTGAATCACATTTCGTCTAAGTTTTCGCAAAATAACAATGAAATAAACCGCAAAAATGCCACGAAATTGAATTTTCTCTTGAAAATCGCCTCTTTGAAAATGAAATTTTCACATAACCTCAACTTTCTTAAAACTAAATATTTACCTTTAATATCTTTAATTAACGGGTCACTGACTGACATTGTTATCTTCAAGTCCTATCATTCAGTTATTTTCGAATAATTTTATCAATTATCACGACAAACACACGTCGTTGAACATTTTCAGTGACTTTTCCGCACCTACCCGTCAAATTTTCTAAAATTTTCCGCACGAAATGGCCGAAAACATCCCCGAAATCGCGCAAGTAATAAAAGACGCAAAAGCCGCCTTTAAAACCGAATTCAAACAAGAGGCGGTAATCGTCGTTTTCGCCCCCGGAAGAGTGAACCTAATCGGGGAACATATCGATTACAACGATGGCTTCGTCATGCCCATGGTAAGTCAACCTTACCGCCCTTGTAATAAAAATTTAAAATTAAAAATTTTCCGCATTGTGATAAGTGATAATAATCTCAAGTGGTGATCTTATCGCAGGCCTTACCCTTGGTAACAGTAATAGTCGGAAAAAAAATAACCGGTGAGGAGAGCACAATTATCACCACCAACCCCGATGCGGACCCCCCGAAAAAAACCACCATTGAGATGCCCAACAAGAACGCGTTAGTCAAAACCATCCCGCCGGGGCCCCCCAAATGGTCGAATTACGTCAAAGGGGTGATTTCGAACTTTGTGGGGGAAACCCCGCCCGCGTTTAACGCACTTATCGCCAGTACGGTGCCCACAGGGGGCGGATTATCCAGTAGTGCGGCGCTCGAAGTGGCAACTTACACTTTTCTTGACGCTTTGGTTGGTCCTAGTGCCGTAATGTGTGACTTACCGTACCGGTTTTGGCCCTAGTGCCTGAAAGTTGTTGTTTCAGGCCCACGGATAAAGCGCTGGCGTGTCAAAAAGCCGAACATGACTACGCTAATGTCCCTTGTGGTATAATGGACCAGTTTATTTCAGTTTTGGGGAAAAAAGACAACGCGCTTTTGATCGATTGTCGAAATATGACTTCAACTTTGATTCCGTTTACTGATCCAAATGTCGTTGTTTTAATCACAAATTCGAACGTTAAACACGAATTGACGGGAAGTGAGTACACCTCAAGGCGGACTCAGTGTCAACAAGCCGCACTTTTACTCAAAAAATTGAGTTTGAGGGACGCCAAACTCGACGATATTGAATGTAACCCTCGAATTGATTAAAACGTGAAATAATCACACTTTTACAGACTTGAAATCGATAAACGCCTCCCAGGAGACAATCAAAAGGGCCCGACATGCCGTCACTGAAATACAAAGGACGCAAGAAGCGGCCGAAGCCCTCAAAAAGAAGGATTTTCAAAAATTTGGCGACTTGATGGTGGCGAGTCACAATTCCCTAAGGGACGATTTCGAAGTCTCATGTGAGGAATTGGACCAGTTGGTTAAACTAGCAATGGAGGTTAAGGGGGTGTACGGGAGTAGGATGACGGGGGGCGGATTTGGGGGCTGTACTGTGACACTTGTACGACCCTTCAATTTTTTTGTTGTTTTTTCTTTAAAAAAAAATTTCAGGTACAAAAATCGGCCGTGAATGATGCCATTGCCCACATCAAGAAGGGCTACAGCGGAAAGCCCACTTTCTACATCTGCAAACCGAGTGATGGGGCGCAAATCGTGGCCAAATGAAATATCGATAATCACAAACTGTATTATTACAATTATTAATAAATTTTATGCACAGTTTTGGCGTTTTTGTGTCGTAAAATAACTATTTAGGGGCCTCCCAAGTGACAAAAAAATTGAGAGTATGTAATCAATTACAACAAAATTGTTAATTTTTCGGAAAATCGACGCAAAATCTTGGAAATTATGAATGTATTTTTCTCATTGTTACTATTGCTACTATAATAATCCCCAGTTGGGGCCCTTTTGGTTCAAAAACTAGAAATAAATCTCAGTAATAAAAACTTAGGTTATGTAATCAATGACAACAAAATCCTTATTTTTTTTTGGAAAATGTACGCAAAATCGTAGAAATTATGAACGAACTGTGGTTACTATTACCGTTGCTGTTATAATAATGCCCATGGTGATTTTTTCATTCAAAAACTAGAAATAATAAATATAAGGTTATGTAATCGGTGATATAACAAAATCAAACTCTTTATAATAACGTTTCTAGCGGTTTAATCACTTTTCCCTTTCCTCATTCTCAATTCGTGCAATAAAAACGCCCTGATATTGGGGTCGGTGACTTTTTCGTTAATTTGTTTCACAGCCTTTTCGCCCCCATCTTTGTACAATTGACTCAATTTTTCCGCGTATTCCAGCCAAACGCAGTTCGGACAGCCTGACATGCAGCACGTTGTCGGTTCTTCGGGGAAGTCCCCATTTTTTTGGCCTTTTTCATTGTGACACTTGCGACAGAAGAAAGTTAGGTTAGGGACGGAACTTCGCAAAGCTGTAAAAAAACAATACATTTGACGAATTTAATCGATTTTGGTACAAACAACGCCTTGTTGACACTATTTTGAGTACCCCCATTGTGCGAAACTTGAAAAGTGAGGTTATGTAAGCGCGCTTCATTCATAACTTAAAAATAAATGCACCTAATCGGGATGCGTCTCTTGGAGCGCATTTCCGGTCATTGCGTCCGATAAAAAGGTCACATTTGGTGGATTTTTGTAAAAATTTTGACGTTTATGACGTAATAGGCACGTGGTTGAAATGTTTAAATCGTTGTTACCTTGGAAACACAGAAAAACAAAAGTGATGGTCCCAGAGCAAACGATGGAAGATGGTGAGTGAAAAAATGTCAAATTTTTAGCAATTTGTCACGTTTTTAATTAGTTTAAATTAAGTTTTGTCGTTTTTGTGCGAGACAGCTTTTGTGTATTATACAGAAATAGTGTCATGTGCTCCTCCCACTCGCACACATTTGTCGCCACTCCGGGTTAAAAACTTGCTAATTGGGCCTAAAATAGACGTTTTTGTGTGCATTTTCTCTCGGGGAAATAATTTTTTTTCGAATTGTTAAAATTTGAATTAATTTCAAAGTGAAATTTGTTGTTTATTGGAACCCAAACCACCCACAGTTGCTTCTATTTGGCTTTCCTCCTCCTCTACTGGTTCACCTTCACAATATAAACATTTAACATTCGTCAAGTACGTGATTTTTTTAACAATTAGTCGTTGTTATTAGCGTTCGACGTGTCAAAAATCGCAATTTTCTAGCCCAAAACCTCGAAGATCACAGTCTCGTCCCTTGCCAGACCTGCGGTCGCACTTTCCTGCCTCTGCCCCTGAGAAAACATGCCCCAATTTGCGAGAAAAACGCCACGAAAAAGCGCAAAGTCTTCGATTCGTTGAAACAGAGAGTGGAAGGCACCGATTTGGCCCAATTCCACCAAAAAACCTACTTGAAAAAACCGCCAGAAAGCATACCAAAACCACCCAAAAAAAAACAGTGGGAGGAAAACCACCAGAAGCTCGTGGATGCCATCCGATCAGCGAAAGGTAATATGTCTTCGGTGAAGAAAGCGACGCCTCCGGCGGCTTCCAACGAACGGTGCCCCTTTTGCGAGCGCCATTTCGGCCCCAAAGCCTTCGACCGGCATGTCGAGTGGTGTAAAGAGCACCGGAGTCGCATCCAGAAATCCCCGGCGAATGTTTTACTAGCGAAAGAACGACTAGAAGCCCGGACTAAATACAAAGTTCCGCCTTTGAGCAAGTCTAAACGCGCAACTGTGAAGGAAAAGTATTCGAGTCCGGGGATAAACCGGACTGAGTCGATTTGTAGCGTCAAAAGCACCCCCATTGTCCCCAAACGCAGCCCCAATGTGCGCAAACCCAAGTCGGTGGTGGATTTGGGAAAAAAAAGCGAGCCAAAAATCGACAAGAGGTAAGAGTTAAAAAGCCCAGAAACCGGAAACATGTGTAGGGAGAAAGGAGGAAAGAGGTTTAAAATAAACATCCAATCTCCTTGCAGTGTTTCATTCCCGTTTTATCCCGATTTTCCTTCAACAGTTCCCGAAAATATTGTCCCGGTCGAGAGAAAATCAATACGAATCACGTGGAAAATCTCGAATCGATTACTGTTTCGCCGGTTAAGTTCAAAAAATTGGTAACTTGGAAAGACATGAGCGAGAAAAGTCCCGATTCCGAATCGGTGATTGTTGTTTACGAGAATTCCAACGTTTTTGGGAGAAAAGAAGCCACGAAAAGTCACACATTTATCGAAGAATTGAAGGAAATTCTCACAGATTCCGACAGTGATTTCTCCAAGAAACAAACCGTTTCCGGTACGACAATCGAAGAGTGCAAAAGTGCACCCGAATTCGCAAATTCCGACGAGGAATTGACCAATTTGGTCAATTCACACGTCGACAGTGAACTGTCTTTCAGCGATTTGACCGAAAATTTTCAAAATTGTCTCATTTCCGACGAGGATTCTTCGAAAAAACAAAGTGATGAAACAACAATTTCGCAAGAATTCACAAATTCCGACGAGGAATTGACTAAACTGGTGAATTCACACGTCGACAATGAACTGTCTTTCAGCGATTTGGCTGAAAATTTTCAAAATTGCCTCATTTCCGACGAGGATTCGAGAACTGATTTGGCTGAAAATTTTCAAAAATGTTCAATTTCCGATTCGGAGGATTCCCCTTTAGCCTTTTGTTTCGGTAAAGACCCGAACTTGAACGAATACGAAGTTCCGAAAAAACGCCGAAAGCTAAATTCGACTTTCATCGTCCATGTTCCGACTTTTCCCGAAAACTCGGGGTTTTTACCGAAAATCGTGACCAATGTTGAAAAACCGATCATCGTTGAAAAAATCAAATCACCGACGAAATTACCACTTTTGGACAAGCGACAAAAAAAAGTCGAGAAAAAAACTCTAGAAATTAAAAGGGATACAAGCGACGTCTTTTTGAGTTACCGAAGGTGAATTTTTTGCCGGTTTATCGCGAATAATGGGTGTCCAAAAAATAGATTTCGAACTTTTTGGAGACCCTAAATTAATTATTTCCTTCCATAAACGATCAAATTTTCGAATATCGGGTGCTTGAAAAAACTTGCACTTAGATCAGTTGCTTGGTTACAATATCAAAATTTGACATTTAGTTATTGTTGCCTAAGTAACAAGAAATTTGACGTTTATTATTGTTACCTAGCAACTGAATAATTTTTTGTAATGGGATTTGTCCTTGAAACTATTTTTTTTTTTTGAATTTTTAAGCCTCCGATATGTAAAAATAACATTTTCTCTGGAATTTTTTTCAGCCCGATTTACGATCCGTTCGCGTCGGCCGAGAGACAATTCAAGGAATTGCTCGAGTGCGACACCGCAATTCGCCCCCACACGGCCGTGGAAAATGCGAAATCGCCCCCGAAAAAAATCGTAAAATCGGCGGAAATATCAAATAATAAAAAACGTCAATCGGTAATCGAACCGCCAGTTTGTTTTCAAGATTCCGACGATGATTTCGAACTCGTCGAAAATATTTTAAACCAGAAAGCAAATTTTAATCTCGATTTGAATAAAAATGACGAGTGTTTTGATGTGTTTTCCACGTCTGAGAGAAAATACAGCGATGATATGTCATCAATCGATTCGAATTTAATAAACGAAAATGATAATTTATCGATTCCGGAAAATTTCAAACTAGATAATTATTCGCCAACATCGACGGAAGACACCGACACAACGATACAAAACGACTTGTATGTGAAAACCCAAAGTGCGAAAAAAACTAAAAAGTCGGCTTCTAGTGAGGCCAAAACGAGAAATAAAGTAAAAGCGACGAAAGAAACGGAAAATAAAAGTGGGCACAACATCAAGGTGGTTTTTGTTTTACCATCATTCCAGTCACTATTTTGATTGTTTTACAGAATTGTGAGATAAAAGCGGAAGATTTGTTTGCAGTGGACGACAAAATGTACGCCGAATACAAAATCTACGAAGAGATGTATCTCAAAGAGAAAGAGCAAAGGTCAAACAAGAAGTCCAAAGCGAAAAATTCAGTAAAGTCGTACGGAATCGAGCTGGAAAAAAGTAAAGTTTCTGACGATTCGGCCTACGGGAGGTAAGTGGTACTCACGAGAGAAAATGATAACTTTCCGACAGTCTCACTAGGGCGAAAATGGACTCGGAAAACGTTCGAATGTCGAAGTTTTGCCACGAATGCGGCACGAAATATCCCCTATCCACGGCAAAATTCTGCGTCGAATGTGGCGTGAAACGATTGGTCTTGTGATATTTGTTGCTTTACCAAAGTATTTTTTAACAAAGTGCAATTAATTTTTTATACAAATATATATTTTTGCTCGATTAACGACCAGGAGTGTGTTTGTGTTGTTATTACCATTCCATTTATTTTATTATTAACAAAGACTGATACGTGTTTTTTTTTCTCATTTTTTTATAATTAATAAAAAATTAATTAATCGACTTTTGTTGTATTCCACTTTCCTGACAACAATTTATTTTAAGACTTTTGATAACCTTTCAACCGAGTTATCGCGCGTCTAGCACAATGAACGAAATTCATTTGTGATTTTACTCTCGTTGGTGGTGAACTCGCAATTTTCAAATCCGCTTTTATTCTGAGAAATCTGCATGACGCGCGACTCGTTCGAACGTAAGAGGAATAAACGAGCCTTCAAGGGTATGTAAAACCGAATATGAGACAAACACTAACTGGTTTTTCACTCCCCAGTTTGGCAAAGTATGTCTGTTGTCCCCCAAGGGGTTTTTGCCGCACGTAAAATCCGCCAAAATGAAAGGATTCTTAAAAATTATAATCACGATTCTTGTCTAACACCCACTAAATACAGCAGCAAGTACATGAACAGCGTCTGGGGGATGTACAACCGCTATTCGGTTCACAATCTCAAGAAAAACATGGACTTTTTCGCTTGTGGGGGCCAAAAGTGAGTTTGCATTATTACAAAAAGTTTCTCCTACGACCCTAGTGAGTTTTTCACCCTAAGTAAAAATAATTTTGCCTCCCCTATTACTGGGTCGTAGGAAAAATTATATGTATTACACTGGAGGAAAAGATACACACTTTCCTCCCTTGTAATCCAAAAACTATACTTATTTATTTCAGGGAACAGTCGGTTGAAAAAAACTCAACCGACTTGAAAACCTTTTTGGCAAAGCACGACTTGATGTAACAGTTGTCTGAATAAATCTGTTGCATAATATTTTGTTTTTTATTAACTTGTTTCAAGGTTTAAAGTGAAACTCTTAATAAATCTTTGTGCTTTTTTTATATTTTTTTTTTTCACATTAAAATAACTTAAAATCACTTGGATCGAATAAATTATGCTAGGCTACTGCACAATACTTAAACAAAAATCGTTTAGGAAAAAGAACCAACGTTAAAATACTCAAAATTAAAGCTTAATAAGATCGAATCGCTGGGGGAACGGTCGAGCACTCATTTTTGTCCAAAGTATCGTCAATTACCGGCCGATATTTAATACTAACTTTCCCTGTTTTCTCATCAATTGTTGTTAAAGTGTGTTTACGCCAATGTTGCTCAAACGGCTTCTTCTGTTGCCCCTCTAGTGGTTTGCTATAATCGTACTCATCTATCCTCAACTTGTAGTCTTCACGAGCGTGCGCCCCCCTTGACTCTTTCCTGTTTTCGGCCGCCACAATCGACTGACACGCATTCAACATCAAATTCTGCAATTCGAGCGTCTCGACCAAATCCGAATTCCAGATGAGACTATTATCAGAGACTTTCAAATCGTTGAGTTTCCCATACAACCCCTCCATTAGTTTGCACCCCTCTTGGAGCGTCTCTTCGGTGCGGAAAACGGCCGCATGCGTCTGCATCGTTTTCTGCATCTGGAGACGCAAAGTGGCCGTCGGGATAGCCCCCTTGGCGTACCGACACCAATCCAAATTCGCCACCGACGCCTCACCGGCATTCTCCTTAATATCGCCGATTTTCTCCCCCGGTTTGTGCTCCTCGGCGATTGTTTTGGCACAAGCCCGACCAAAAACAACCAAATCGAGTAGGGAATTTGCACCTAAACGGTTGGCACCATGCACCGACGACGATGCCGCCTCTCCACACGCATACAATCCTTTAACAACCTTATCCTGGTTATTCACATTTGTTAAAACTTGTCCCTTGTAATTCGTAGGGATTCCACCCATGTTGTAATGGACAGTTGGCAACACTGGGATTGGTTCTCTAGTAACATCAACACCGGCAAAAATCATAGCAGTTTCAGAAATGCCTGGCAACCGTGTATGTAACTGCTCGGCCGGTAAGTGGTGCAACTGTAAAAACACGTGATCTTTTTCGGGGCCACAACCACGGCCTTCTCTGATTTCAATCGTCATACTCCGAGAGACCACATCACGACTTGCTAAGTCTTTCGCGACGGGGGCGTAGCGCTCCATGAAACGTTCCCCTTGCGAGTTAATGAGATAGCCCCCTTCGCCACGACAGCCCTCGGTTATGAGACACCCAGCCCCATAAATGCCAGTTGGGTGGAATTGGATGAATTCCAGGTCCTGGGCGGGCAAACCGGCGCGGGCCACCATCGCAGTCCCATCACCGGTGCAAGTATGTGCCGAAGTGCATGAGAAGAAAGCTCGGCCGTAGCCCCCCGTAGCCAAAACCTACCAACTTAATCAAACAAAAATTACTAGATTTTGACCAGACTTACGGTGTTTTTGGCCCGGATTCGGTGAATTGTCCCGTCTTCAAGACACAAAGCGATGACTCCGCGACACTCCCCCTCTTCCATAATCAAATCCAGAGCGAAATATTCGATAAAATAGTTGCAATCGTAGCGCAATGACTGACCGTAAAGAGTGTGAAGTAGGCTGTGCCCGGTCCTGTCAGCCACGCAACAGCATCGATGGGCTTGGCCCCCTTTCCCAAACTTGAGACTTTGCCCCCCGAAAGCCCTCTGATAGATCTTCCCATCGGAGGTGCGCGAGAAGGGCATTCCGTAGTTTTCCAATTCGGTGACCGCTTTTGGGGCTTCCCGGGTCATGTAGTGGATGGCGTCCTGGTCCCCCAACCAATCGGAGCCCTTGACGGTGTCATACATGTGCCATTGCCAATTGTCCTCCTCCATGTTACCTGTTTTGGGGCCAAAATAATAACAAAAAATTCCCAGAGATAAGTTATCAGTGTTCTTTGAGCCCCAGACGGGTCAAGGTCGGGGCAATGGGAATCTCCACTTACCCATAGCCGCATTGATGCCCCCTTGGGCCGCCACGGTGTGACTCCGCGTGGGGAATAACTTGGTCACCACCGCAGTCTTGAAACCCTCGGCGACGAGCCCGAAAGCGGCCCGCAAACCGGCGCCCCCGGCCCCCACGACCACGGCGTCGTACGTGTGGTCCACAATGGGATACACCTTCGAGACTGCGTCACTACTAACCTTGGCATTTTTCTTGTCCACGCCAATATGCAACCCTTGGGATAAAACCTTCTGATTCTGAAACAATCAATCATTTTGAGGTTAGATTTTGCATAAAACATTTTTTAAGGTTAGAAAACGTCAACGGTGACACGATTTTTTCGAGAAAAACTTATAAACATTCCAGTTATGTAACACCTGAGGATTTGGGCAAAAAATGCGTACCTTTGCGACACTCGTCAAAACATGTTTTGGGAAAATCGTTTGTATTTTTAAAAGGCCACTCATTTTTATCACTTTCTAAACTAATTAGAAATTTTTGAAATGACCATTCAACCCCGGCACCTTTCACTAATCAACTGGACAAAAAAACAAATGACAATCGGCGAAAAATGTAAGACTTGACCAATCACGTGCCATTTCGCCAACCTGGCAAATTCAAATTAAGGCGCGAATAAAACACAAACTTGTTAAAAGCCAAATTTATTCACTGATTTGAAGAAAATAACAACAATCAATGGGTCCATTGAGGTTTCCTCTTCTCGACAACACCCAGAATGCCCTTTTGCCCATCCATAATTTTAATATCAAGTGCCATTTCTCCAACCTGTCAAATTCAAATTATGGCGCGAATAAAACACAACTTGTTAAAAAACCGATTTATTCACTTACTTGACCCCAACAACAATTATCATTGCATCCATTGGGGCTTCCTTTTCTCGATAAAACTCCGGATGCCCTCTTGCCCATCCGCGCTTTGCAAATTCTCCACCATTGTGAAACCCCCAATTTCGTACGCTTTTCTCACCTCAATATTGACTTGTTTGTAGTAAAATCGCTTCCCCAACTCGATTACCGCCCGACTCTTGGTCATAATATCCCCACAAACCCCCCCAATCTCCCCGTCAAGGTCCCCACAAACCTTGTTGACTAAACCCCTCATTTCGGCTTCGTGACTCGAAATTGGTTTTCCAGTCAGAAGCATTCTCATTGCGGTGATTTTGGGGACACTTCGGGCCAGGGCTACGCCCGGTGTCGAGCAAAAAATCCCGAAATTCGCCCTGGAAAGTGTCGATTAGTGCGAGTGGGTGACTTGGGGGGAGTACCCAGGTGTTGAAAAAGTGCTTTTTTCGGTACAAAAAGCCAGATCGCATTGGGCCACAAGTTGGCATCCAGCAGCCGCAGCCAGACCATCGACTCGGGCTATCACAGGAACAGGACTATCGATGATTTTGGTCATTAGAGTTGAAGCAAGAGAGAAAACTTTTTTCTGTTGGGCATGGCCACATTCTGGGGACTAAATTTCGGTTAATTTTGCCCAAAATGACACGAAGACAGTACCAATTCTTTCAGGTTGTGTCCGGCAGAGAAAATGGGGCCTTCCCCGGTTATTATTATCACTCTGATGCTCTTGTTGGCTGAGTTTTCGTCTATGTTGTTGATTAGGTTTTCCATCATTGAAATTGACAAGGAATTTCTACCCCAAATACAATTATTACACCTTTTTTGTTGAATATAAGGCAATTACCTTGTTTTTTGGTCACACATTATTATCCTCACAATTCCATTTTGCACCTTCACCTGTGTGGGAGCCCCAGAAGAGTAAAAACATTTCTGGGCGAAAAAAACGACCTAAAGCCCACAAATTCAGTAATAAAGATTATAAACATGAACAAAAACCTTAACTTGTCTTAATCCCAACATTTCTTCCTGAGTTCGGACAATGAACTGTGTTTTTTATCAGATAAATAATTTATCATTAAATGTACGAACTCTAAAAAATTAACAATAAATGACACAAAATGGGTCACAAATAGTGGTCTGGGTGAGTTACGAGTCACGAAATGTAGAAAATTGTGTTTATTTTGATGTAAAATTGAATTTTGGTTTTGCGATTTAAATTTAGCGCTTTTTCTTCAACCAGTGGTTCATAATCATTAGTGTGATACAACGTTAAAAAAGCCCCAAAAAATAACAAATTTTCGTTACAAACTATTAATTACTATGGTGTAACCACAAGTGGTTACAATTCTCTTTAACTGTAGTTATTTTGTTACAAATTATTATTTTAAATGGTGGCTATAAAGTACCGCTGAAGTGTGAAAATCCCTAACCTCAAACTTGATTCTTGCAAAATGCCCCTAATTGTGATAACTGGGGTCCCCTGTAGCGGCAAAACTACTCGTTGTAAAGAATTGAAACAGTTTTTTGAAAATATCGGTAAAGAAGTGCACGTTGTTAGTGAATACGACCAAATTGTGAAAGCGAATTTTGAGAAAAACAGTTTTTTTTCAGGTGAGTGACCATTTCGCCCATTTTGTTTCCAAATTTCAGTTTTCAGATGCCGCCGCTGAAAAACACATACGCAGCTTGCTCAAATCTGAGGTTTTGAGACTGATAACCCCAAAAAATGTTGTTATACTTGACGCCTTGAATTACATCAAAGGTAATTAAAAGTGGGGGTTTTGGTGTTTTAAATCGTTTCAGGTTTCAGGTATGAGTTGTATTGTGGCTCAAAGGCCAACAAAAATACGCAATGTACGATTCACACTGAAATAAACCGAGATGAGGCTTGGAAATTTAACGAAAATAGACCAGAATTGGAGAAATACAACAGAGACACTTTCGATGCCCTTGTGATGCGGTTTGAGGACCCCGACGGGAAAAATCGCTGGGATTCACCCTTATTTGTGGTTTTCCCCGGACAAGAATTAGACAAAAATGCCGTAAAATCGTGTTTGTTTGACTCAGAACCGGTCATTCCAAACATGTCAACTCAAAACGTAAAAAAATGTTTTTTTAAGCGATTTTTCACTAATTACAATTTTAGCCCCCACTAAACTCCACAAATTTCTTGTACGACTTGGACCAAGTCACGAAAAAAATCACAGACGCGCTTGTCAAAAGCAAAAATATGGGGGCACAAGGAATGGTGAAAATTGAAGACTTTCCGCACCTGTCTGTTGATATTTCTAACGCCACGGCGCAAAAATTGACGATTTTAAGGAGACAATATTTAAGTTATTGCAAGCTTCACCCCCCGGACACGAAGCAAATACCCCAATTATTCGTACAATATTTAATAACGAGCTTGCAATAAAAAACTTTACACAACTGGCCCATTTTTGGTGTTTTCCCTCAATTCACTTTATTTTCGTGAAAATTTTATTTAATAAGATTGCAATAAAAATCTGACATAACCTCACTTTATACACACATCACAATTGGCCAATTTTTTGTGTATAACCACCAATTTATTTCCCTTATTTACGTGAAACACTTTATTTTCGTGTAAAATTAATAAGGTTTGATTATTTATCGTACTAGAGCCACAATTTAAGTAAAAGCCGGTTTCTAACCTCAATCTTTTGCGACTTGGAAAATGAGTTTTTTGCGCTGTGGTTTCACTCGTGTCCGTTATTTTTGCACTCAAAGTCTTGTTCCGAAAGCCCCGACTCGTTCTAAAATCGACCGGGATAAGTTGCCCCCACGCACAAGCATTGATGCTAAAACTATAGCCCTTTTAGAGCGCTTATCACTCGTCGATTGTGCCAACAAGCAAGGGATTGAGACCCTAGAAGGGGCTATTGCGTTCGCCGACCAAATCCAGCAAGTGGATACTTCGAACATCGAGCCTTTGGTGACGGTTTTGGAAGACAGGTAAGGGGCTCAAACTCGATTTTGGGGCCTGATTTTCTGTTCAAGGCCGTTGCGTACGAGGGAAGACCACGTCAGTGAAGGTAATTGCCGGGAGGATATTCTCCGAAACGCTGAAATCACCGAAGAGGAGTATTTCGTCGCGCCCCCCGGGAACATCCCCCTCGAGCCCCGTGAGGATTTACTCCACGATGACGTTCGAAAAAATCGCGAAACTGTGTGAAAAACACGGATTTTTGCGTAGAGTCGCCCATGCGAGACTAGAAATGTTCAAAATGGGGCCAACTGGGGCCCTTTTGCAGGAAAATTTGCATACAGAGTGGTTCAATAACATCGTAATTGGCAAAGATGTTCAAGTGTTTCATTGTGGGGACGATTTCAGGGAGACTTTTGATTTTGCCAAAGCGACGTGTCTCGGGATTCCCCCGTTTGGTGTCTCGCGTGTAACACCGAAAAAATTACGAGTGCAAGAACAGTTGGAACAGTCCGGATTTGAGAAGTATTTCGACGAGGGGCAGATCTACGAATGTTGGGTTTTTGTGCCCCCCAAAGACGTGACACAGTTTTTCCACCAGTGGCAACGCGAACGTAAAATTTGGTGGCGGAGAGTTGGTATTTCTGAAATTTTTTTGAATTTCTCTATTGTTGGTTTTACAGTTTTCTTCTTCACCCGGACGTTACGTTTTGACGGATATACGCAACGAGGGGGCACAAAACGTGGAAATTTTAGCCAAGTACCCATGGGGGGACCAATTGGTGGAAAGTTTGAGTGTTGTTAGCGAAATCGAGGGACTTACAAACGAGCAATTACAGGTACCTGTAATTTTACAAAGTGAAAAACATCACACGTTTTTTGTAGATTCAAGAGGGCAAAAAATCAGTTCAAAGCCAATGTGTTGTTAGTAGAATTTCTTCCTCGACGATGCTTCTAAACACGGTCTGTGACGCTTACGACGAACCTATGTTTCAAGACAAGGAGCGTCCTCTTTTGCGCTTCCACCGCAAATTGGCGCCTTATAAAATCAGTTTTTCGGTTCCTTCAGGAGGTACGAACGTCATTTAACAATATTTGATGTAATATGTTTTTGTAGTAATGTCGGTAACTAACGAATTGAAAGATTTGGCGATTTATTTGTGTCGCCAGTTACGTAAAAGTCACATTTCGTGTCTGTACCTCCCTTCAAGTTATAAAAACACTCTTGACTCCCAATGGCGACAATATGACCAGTTGGGGGTACCCTACAATGTACTTTTAAACGCAAATACCCTAAAAAATGGAATCGTTCTTTTGCGAAGTCGGGACACAACACTCAAGGAACAAGTGCACGTTGCTGACCTACCCTCCTACGTCGAAAAACTGTACGAAAACTATTAATTCTGACTGTATTTTAAAACATTTACCAAACATACGGGACGCCTATGGTTTCATTAAAATATACTTTGTTTCCCTAGCAACAAGCTTGTTTCCTTAGTAACGTCCATTTAAACGCACAGTTTTCTCCATAGGCGTCGCCACAGTTAATTTTGGTTGAATTTCCTAAAATTAATTCCTGTCGTTCCCGAAATCCAGGCAATGTACGCCGAGACTCTTGTATAAACCGAATTGTTGTTGGAAAGTCGACATTTCGGTGACCGAGCCAAGTAACTCGTTATCCCCACTTGAATGTAGTTTTTATTTTTCTTAATAAAAAGAGGACCACCACTGTCACCCTAAAAACTATGTTTTATTTCAAAAATGTGAAAAAACCGACATACATCGCAAGCTTTGCCTTCTGAGATTGTGGAGGAGCCACAGATTTCAACATGTCGCAAGCGGGGATTCCCCGCACATTTTTTATAATCTGCGATGTGGAGGACCGCCTTTCGGAGTCTTTTCGGGCTTGGGCCCCCATCTGCAACCGCGATTTGTGTTTCTACCGTCGCATTTTCACGTCCTTACCGTCGGTGTAACCGAAACCGGTGAGAAAAGCGGTTTTTTGTAGCAAATTCTCATTGTTGTCGATATGTAACCGAATTAGGTTTACATTCGGGGTTAGTTTAGCATTTTTCTCGAGTTTGATTAAACCGATATCGTTGCGATCGGTTTTTAGATAAGTCGGATGAATTATTAGTTTCACCGGCTGTAAAATTTGGGCTTTTTTGCCGCTGTTATAGACACTACCTAATGCAACGCGAAGCTCGCCACTAAAAAAATAGCATTTCTAGTTTTTTACACAACTTACGGTTTAAAACGACGACTTTTTTGGTTTTCTTGGATGCAATGAGCGGCAGTTAGCACCCATTTGGGGTGAATTAAACTGCCACCACAAAAACTAAACAAAAAGTTTCGGTTTATTACTTGTAATAAGTTGGCGTGGAACGGGTATTCACTCAAATTGGGTTCAATCGGTTTAAAATTACCCTAAAATAGTGATTTTTACGTGGTTTTGGATCACCCCAACTCACATTAACGATAGGTTTGCACACGATAAGGGACAAAAAACTAAGGAGAAAAATTAGATAAATATTCAATGCCATTGGGACAAAATCTGAACCTAATAAACGTCGACAAGGTTAATACAACCGGAAATTAAAAAAAAAAAAAAACAATTTAATTTCCGTTAATTATATTTCATATGGGACGCCCATGACTTTACAAAAATATAGGTCATTTCCTTGGTTACCATTGTCGTTTCCATAGCAACGTCATTTAAAATGGTAGATTTCTCCATAGGCGTCCCCGAGGCTAATTTTGGTTGAATTTCGCGAAATTAATTCCCGTTATTTTGGAAATCCACGCGATATAAGCCGAAACTCTGGTATAAACCGAATTGTTGAAAGCCACTCTACAGAATGGCAACAAAGCCAAGTGACTTGTGACCCCAATTTGGACATTTTGTCCTTTTCGTGTCAGAAAAAGGGGGCCCCCACTGTCCCCCTGAAACCGTTTCGTTACGTAAAATCCGCGTTGGGTGAATTAGAATTTTTACTTTGCATGCTTTGCCTTCGGCGATCCTCGAAGCTGCACAAATCTCCACATTTCGAAATTGCGCCTCACTGAAACACTTGTCGTAATTTGTGACGTGTAAAACGGCCTTTCGCAGCCTGATGGGGGTTTCGTACATGTCTGAAACTTGATTTTAATTCAAAGAAATTGGAATTTTGGAGTTCGGTGTAACCGTTTATTATCCCAAAACCAGTCAAAAACGCGGTTTGGTTGAGTAGAGACTCCTTACTGTTGGTGTGCAATTTGATGAGTTTCACGTTTCGGGTCAAAACTGCACTTTTCTCGAGTCGGACTAATCCGATGTCGTTCCTACCCCCTGTTTTCAAGTACGTGGGGTGAATCACCAGTTTTTCCACCCCCAAAACCTGGGCCTTGTCCCCATTCCGGTAAATACTCCCCAACGCGACGAAAACCTCACCTCTGACACAATTTAAACATACAGGGTGTCCGGTAAAAACATTGAAAGATTTCGGGGGGTGTTTCCTTGGTCAAAATAAGAAAAAAAATTCCTGTGGACTTTAGCCCGGAAATGCGTCCTGAGGGAGCTAGACCTGCTTTTTGGTATATATAAAGTCGAGGTATCGCTTTAACTCCCTTAGGAAGCTTTTCCGGTCATGTGACCATAAGAATTTTTTTCTTATTTCGACCAAAGAAACCCTCTCTCTTAATCTTTCAACGTTTTTCTCCGACACCCTGTATGACTTACGGTTTGAAAGCCGGACTTGTCTCATCCAATTGTATGCAATGGGCAGCTGTCAACACCCATCTGGGGTGAATCAAACTACCACCGCAAAAACTATGGTACGTTTTATCGGGCTTGAATTGCATCAAACTCGCATGGAAGGGAAATTCACCCAAATGGGGCTCAATAGGCCGCGAAAAACCATTGACAATGGGCACTGCCCCAATTTCCACCAAATTACACCAAACCACCACGAAAAAAAATTTCATCAGCGACCACAAACCCAACAATCAAACCAAACGGAAACGATCATTATTATATTTATTTTATTTAAACAATAACTGGACAGGAAGTGCCAAATGTTACGCCCCTGCACAAAAAATTCATATTTTAACGTTTCCATGACAACAATAATACTTGTCATGGTTTTTTCATCATTTCCATAGCAACAGTGTCCAGTGGCGGGTCATACTTGTATTAATCGGCTCAAATTCGTAATTTCCTCGTCTTCCAATCGTCCCTTGTTTAAAGCGATGCTAAAAGTCTTGATGGATTCCCCCCGGGCTGTCACCCAAATAATTCCATAATTGTTGACTTGCATTGTTATAACCACGTTTCGATTTTTGGTGGTTTTGGTCCATTTGATTTCGTGTGCCCCCAAAAGGACGTTTTTGTTGCAATCCAAATGCCCCCCCTCGTAGACCGACAAAATACAGTTCTTTTGTTTGCGATTTTTGAAAACATGGACGTGTTTGGACTTGGCTGGGAGGGGCGTATTTCGTGCAAAATTGAAGAAGATGGTGTCCTCATCGACGACAGTGCCAATCGAGAGGGGCAACACGTCGATCAGGAGCGACTCATGGGGGCCTTTGGTAAAATGGTGGGCTTCTAGAGCCGCCCCAATGGCGATGGCCTCATCCGCGTTGATATTCCGCCGAATCGGCCTATTAAAATACTCCCTGAGGAGGGTCTCAATCCGGGGAATCCTCGAGGAGCCCCCAACAAGCAAAACCTCATCGATTTCCCCCCTACTCATCCTCCGATTTTTGATACAACTATCAACAATTCTGATCGTTTTGGCGAAAAGATCCGAGTTGAGTGCCTCGAATTGCTCCCGGGTGATTTCCAATTTGTCAAAAACCCCGGAAAACTCCAAAGGGATAAGTGTTTTGGTCGCGGTCGTGAGAATTTTCTTCGTTTTCTCGCAGGAATTGACGATATTCATCATGAAACGTGTATTTTCGCGCACTTGAACCCCGTGTTTGGCTTGCACGAAATCGGCCACATAATCGACAAGGCGGTTGAGGAAATCCTGGCCGCCTAGATGCGTATCACCGTCGACTGAAAGCACTTTAATCGTGTCGTTTTCAGTCCGAACAATGGACACGTCGAAAGTGCCACCACCTAGGTCGTAAATGAGGATAACTCGTCCGTTTTCGATGCGATTCTCGCGGACGTAGGCCAAAGCGGCGGCACTTGGCTCATTGACGAGCTTCAACACCTCGAAACCGGCGATTCGGGCGGCATCCCGGGTCGCCGCCCTCTGATTATTGTTGAAATAGGCCGGGACTGTGACCACCGCTTTGCCCACTTTCAGGCCGAGGTGCGTTTCAGCGTCGATTTTCAGCCGGTGGAGGATGCGAGCACACACCTCCTCGGGGGGGAAAGTGCGCAATTTCCCCGATTTTTGCTCCACTTGGATCAGGATCTCCCCATTTGTGCCGCGACTCAATTCATAAGTCAGCGATTTTTTCTCCGACTCGATTTCAGGGTCGTCGTGCAGACACCCAATCAGTCTTTTGATCTCTACGAAAAAAATTTAATGACGAAACCACAAAAAGGCAAATTTACCGTAAATGCCATTCGAAGGCTTGGCACTAGCCTCGTGTTTGGCCGTTTTACCAACAAGGATGTTATTCTCCCCGTAATAAACGTATGAAAGTGTCGTTCTTTTGCCCTCCCGGTTTGGTATTACCTCGATTCTGCCGTTTTTTTCAACGGCAATGCAAGAATTTGTCGTCCCCAAGTCGATTCCCACAACCAATTCGGACATTTTCGCGTTAAAAACTGAGATTATCGACGATTGTTTTGATTTTATCTTATCTCGATTTTATAGATACCTAAATATTTAAAATGTTGGGCAATCGGGGGGCAAATTTGGTTTTAATACACTGAGCGACGCTAGAAATGTGTCCGTAGGAGGCCATGACAAGTTGCCATGGTAATTTTCATGGTTGCTATGGCTTTGCAGCAAAAGTATGCTTGATTGTCAAGGACTTTGTTGTAACTATGGAAACATTCTGTTACCATGACAATTTTCTAGTTGGTTGCCATAGTTCGTAACACTCATAGCACACTCGCTTGATTTTTACTATACTGAACGCCACTAAAAACCACAGAAGAAAGACTTATATTGACTTATTTATTTATTTATTACTTATTTTTTTATATTATTTTGACTTAAACCTATGTAAAATGTTCCGGGGAATCGATTGCCGGTCAAGAAAACTGCTAAATTCCTAATACTTTCTAAGTTATAGTCGAATTTATATTTTCTAAATTTTTGATTTTATCAGATCTATTTCTTCTAGAACACTAATCTTTTTTGTTTATAGAAAATTAAATTTTCTTTCCAACGGTACCAAACACCAATAAGTTATCGGGTTTGAAAAATTCAAAAATTTTTGAGTTTTTGAAGGTAAAAATAGTCTATTTACCTTAAGTAATTTTTAATCAGGGGCGTCAACACAAAAGACCTTTTTTTATGAAAAACTATGAAATTTTGTTGCTGAAAGTGGCAAGAAACCACAAGCAAAATAGAGTAAATTTTTACCCTAATCCCATCTAGTTTAGGAGGCCCCTAATTAAAAATTTCAACATCTTATTTTTGTACTAGTTTAGGTGTATAAAAGTTATCATCTGTACCAAACTTTGAAATTTTTTTCTAAAATGGAAAAAAACCTATTAAAAGACGCACCCCTTGCATAGCATTTTTCGATATATGTACATAGAAAGTTTTTGTTTTAAAAATGAATATTCTGTCTCCTGTTTAAATTTGTAACAATAAAAAGTATTAAAAAATTATTTTATTTTTTGTTACTTTTGTGAGTTAATTTGTATTTCTTTATATTTAATTAGGATCTCTTATTTCAATTTAAAATAAAATCGTGTACTTAGAGATTTTTGCTTTTTAATCCGCCTTCTTTCATTTCATTTTCATGGACCAACAAGAAATGATATTTTTGACTTTATCAGAAATTTTCTCGATAACTATTTATCGTAGAACACTTTTTTTTGTATACGATAGAAAATTCAATTTTCTTTCCAACGGTACCAAAAAAAAAAAAAAGGTTATCACCAATAAGTCCGGAGTTATTGGCAATAGACCACTCTGGATGCCAAAAATCGACCAAAATTTCGACAAAAATCAAAAAAAAAATTATCTTTAAAATTGATATATTAAACGTTTTTTTTTACATTTCTAGAGGTCTTAAAGACTCAAAAAAAGCACAAAACGTTATTGGGTCAAGTTAAAAAATTACGAATTTTTTGGGTTTTCGTCTCTTCGAAGATAATTTTTAGTAGACGCCTGTCATTGTGACGCAATGAGCACCCGCAAGCTTTGGGAGAAGAAAAGTTCCCGTAGTTCTGTGAAATCGCGTTCTAGGAGCAATTCTCTCAACAAAAACTTGTAAACTGCTCAGAAATTGTAAATTGATAATGTAAAAATTTTCAGATCGAGGAAAATCTCAGAAATCGAGGAAAATGGGGAAACAGTTGCGCAAGGAATCATGCATGAAATTCTAGAAACGTCACTTGAGACAATCGAAAAGCGCTATTTGGAGCGCCAGACGATCAAATTCGTGGTGCATTGCGCCCATCAAGCTTTGACAAAAGCCCTAAAAATGCACTTTTACCAACACAACGATTATATTCGAAATGCGGAATTCTGGGGCTCGGAAAAACGCCTCGAGCCCTCATTCCCCGACTCTTGGGCGATAAATCAAGTCCCAGTGACGAAAAACATCGCCGAGGAGGAGGAACTCAACACTCTCAAAAGGATCAAATCGGAAATTGACCGAAAAGGAGGGGAGATCCTTCTCGACTCCACTGTTGACCTCATTAGTGAACCTTCTGAGAGTCTTTTGGTCGATATTCGGGGAATTCTCGACGAGATTCTCGATAACCTCCCCGTAGTATTTGAGGAAACCCCCGAAGTTGAGTAAAACCCCCAACTGTCTTTCTTTAATTTTAAATTGCAGAAACTCGAGTCTGTCACGAGTGCGTTCACTTTGGTGGTGGAGGGCCAACAGCCCTACACCGACTTCAAAATGAAGCCCCAAATGTCGCGAATCGCCCCCTGGTTCCCCAGCACCGTCAAACTGCCCCGAATTGACCTCCCGGAATCGGGGAATTCCCGCCGACAGAAAGACTCAAATGAATCGCTGACGCAGGAAACCCTCCCACCCATCAGGTGAAAAATAGATAATAATTAGATAATAACTCAAAATCTGCCAAGACGTTGACGCTATATTTCCGAGAAATCTACGCTAGAAATTTATTTATAACGTTGGCAAATTGGTAAGGACGTTGCACCAGTTGGTTTAATAAATAATTTCATATCGCAAGTGCAAAAGTTTGTTTTTTTAAACCCGGAAAGGTCGCAATGAACTCTGATTGCGTTTCTAGGTCAATTTAAAAAATGGCGTATTATTGGTTGCCTACCACACTACTTCGTAAAATCGATCCAAAATCGAAAAAAATTACATAAAACTAAACGATATTGTTCTATTCTCATCGCTGGTTTACTCAAAATCGGGTTATGTTGGACATTGTGTATTACTAGATGGGGCCAAAAATAGTTGGTGTATTACTGGTTGTCTGTCACCGTATCGTAAAATCGTTTCACAATCACAAATATTTACTCCAAGTGACAAAAACAAACAAACTACCAATAAAACCAAGCAAAATTTTCCTATTTTCATTACTTGTTTACCCAAAATCGGTTTATTTTGGTAAATATTGAACATGGTGTATTACTGGTTGCCTATGTTTATCATAGTCGCTTGATAAACCCATTTTCGTTTAGATTATGATAGAGAAGAGTCAATAATTGCGATAAAGGAGCAAAGATCTGTGCCACAAACTTAAATATATCTAGCCTTGAACACAAACAGCTGCATATTTTTGTTTGAAACATTTTACATAGGAATTGGCATCGTGCCACTCCACACGATATAATTAATAATTCAACGAAACAAGAAAAAAAAAAAGAACAACTAATTAAAATTTTCCGAGAAAACCACACACATAAGAGGTACCAAGCTGTCTGATTCGGTCGCGTTGCCAAGACACTCGGACTTTTGAAATTTTGCCCAATGAAAAAAAAAAACAATGGTAACCACGGAAACATTTGCACCGCCGACTGTGTGAAAAGAAATGGGGTGTCGTTTAGGCCTAAATTCGCATGTGTTTAAAGGTCGTAAAGCTCAGTATTTTTACAACCGGACGTTTTGCCTTAATCCCACTATAAAACGAGTAATTAAATAAATCTCACCCCCTTGTAGAGTTTATTTTTAGCACCGCTTTGTTCGCGTGTTTTTAAAATATACTCTTTTTCATATTAATGTGCATCAAGTAGGTTGTCGAAGTCTAAATGCATCTTTAATTTAAAGACTGATTTACACAAAAAGTGTAATTTTTAGGGAAGATTGAGGTTAAGATTGTTTGAATTTTTGCATGGGTGCCATTAATCTGAAAACGAGTATAGTCGATTTTTCCGTTTTGTTCAATTTTGAATTTGTTTGCTATCGATTGAAACAAGTGGAACGACGACCCGAGTTGATATTTAAACATCCCAAAGGCTAATGCTCCGTATTGAACGTGGACAAATTTAAAAATTTATAAAAAATGGAGCATTTTCCCCTTGAACTTGTCGCGTTCACGTTTCGAAGAGAGTTCAAACGAGTTTAAAAAAATTACCATATAGGTGGTGTCACGCCGAAAAAATTCAAATTTTTCCGAAAACGAATTGTAAATGGCGAAATATCTCGTGTTACGAGTCGCGTATTAATTAATATTGATGGTGGCAAAGAACTCAAAAAGCGATTTTATTCAATTATTGAAAACGTTGTTTGTTTCAGGACCGATGCCAAGTACAGATGTCTCTCAGCCGCCATGCCACCGGAAGAAAAAACGAAAAAAAGACAGAAATAAGTGATTCTTTTCGACAAAACTCGACACTTTCTAATTCTGTTTTTACCAAGTTCGGTGTACGCAATTGCGAAATAACACGTTCGGTGTTATTATATTATTGACTTCTGTGGCAACACTAAACAGGAAAATATTTGCATATCCTAGTTTTTACCGAAATTCATCGATTCGTAATTCGAATTTTGAAAGGGTGTGAGTCATCGCATCTAATCTTCCACTTAATTTACTTCTTGTTCTTCACTTTTTCGATGCCTGAAGCCGTGGAAATTTCCAGTATTAGTCGGCGCACGCAACTCCTTTTTTACCCATCAGAATTAGAATTTTGATTGAAATTAGCCGACAAGAATTACATAACTAGATTTTTTTTTCTTGCCTTATTTCGACGATTACATCACCCCTGATGAATAAAATCACACCGGAAAATTAACGGGTCAAAAGAAGGTAAACCAATAAAATAATTAGAAATACAAAGATTGCTCGATTTTTTCAATTAACCACGAAGCATTATTGAGTGGTGCAATTCCCATGATTAATACAATTGTGATAAGATAATAATCCATCACCACCTTCTGGTGCCGCCGCGTCTAGCAACAAAACCGATAACCTTGTAGACGCATTACCACTTGCAATTATTGCATCATGTCATTATATTTATTAGAAATAGAACGGCAAAAATGACGTGTTTTGCGTTATTCCAACGAAAAAAACACAAATTGTGCAATTTAAGTCACTTTTCGTTACTTTAATATTTGTTACCATGACAATAAATCATAAGAAAATTGGTTACCATGGAAACTTCCATTCGTTGCTATGGTTTTTCACATTACTGCAAAGTAATTATTATTGGTTGCCATGGTTTTTCTTACAGACTCATGGCCGCCTGTAAAATTGTCAATTTAGCTTGATTTTGAGCGATTTCTTTCTTGTAAATAAAAAGGCGCAAGTTGTGCGTCTTTGATCACGTAGGCCATGCATAGCGCGCGAGAATCCCCGATTATGAATCGTGAAATAGGTGGGGGGGGGAGTCACCGCGCAAAGTTATATAAATACCGGCACAGCTGATCTTATTGATAGTAGGCCAAAGTAACGTTTCGTGTGTCATCTTCAGGGTTTCTAAGAGCCGGCTTTTTGTCAATTTTTACCGAAAAAAATGGAAATCATTACTTGGACCAACCAGTTCAACAATAACGTGGGAGGTGAGTGAAAACCGCCGATGGTGACCCTCAATGACCTCGCAGCGCTCTTAGCAACAAGAGTTTCACTTCGCCTTGCTTTCTTTTGGTGTTTTTAATTTGTTTTTTTTTTTTGTTCTTTTTTAGAGAGTGAAGTCGTGCTCGATTCGGAGGTTTTGGCCGTGGAGGCGCTCTCGAAGCGCTTCGCCGACGAGTTGAAGAAGGCCAAAAGGGCGCAATTCGCCTGCGGAGAGGTGGTGTTACCGGCCGACTTGACTCGAGCTTTGGCGAGGGACGTTTTGGCCAAAGCTGAGAAAGAGCCCTGCGGGCTGAAGGGCTGCACGATTTTCATCAATTTTGAGAGTGGTGAGGAGAGGAGGAGATTGAGTGTGGTGAATTGCGATCCGTCGACGCCGACCACTTTCGAGCTGTATTTGACGTTAAAACAGAACGTTAATGGGTGGAATCACTTCCTGCCGCAATTTTTAAAGTCAGTTTTTGAGGGTTTTGAGGTGATTGAAGGCTAAATAAAGGCTTTTTGTTGCAGGAAAATGACGAGGAGCGGCACGGTTATGATCTCGCCCGAATACGATCTTCAAAAGAAGAAATTGTATAGATCGTACGATGATTAATACTTATGTACCTTGCAAAGGGGGAAAAGACTGATGATTGCATAAGTATTCGATTTTTCATCATTTTCATCTTTTTGTTGTGATATTAGGTGCGATACGACGGTTTGGGATCCGACATTTTTCATGATTTTCAGTATTTCGGGATTCCAAACTGATGATCTCACTGTACTCGACTAGTGTAGTTGGTAGGATTTTTATTGTTTCTCTACGACTAAAAATTGTGATAGTACAGATCATGTACAGCTTTTTATATTATAAACATTATAGCACGTTATGTAAAATAAAATGTTTACTAGAAAATATAAATTTTAAACGTGTTTGGCGACTTTATTGCCCGGCTTAAGCCTGAAATAATCAAGGCTAAAGAACGAAAACATCCTATTAATAGACCAGAGATAATGAAAATTTATTCTCATTCGCAACTCGATTTATTTACTAAAAAAATTATCGAACCAAACAGACCGAAATTCAAGAAAATTACAATTCACCTTGAATTAACCAACAACAAAAATAAAAATTATGACTCATTTCGCACATTCAATATTCATTTTATGTTGTTATTGAATGGCAATGTATGATAATTTTTAGTAAAAGCACACAAATTAATTTCTGTTGTTTCCGCAATTATTCAATTGCCATGGCAATGCGTTGTAACTACGGCAACTTTTATTGTGTAACTATGGCAGTTGGCAACAAGATTTTGTTACTAAATCTCGAAAAAATTAAATCAAAGTGTGCTACTGTTCAGACTCGAAAATCTGGAACAACCAAGTTTGTGGTCGCACCGCGTCGATAAAGTCGCGCCTTTGTCACCAATCAAATCACATTTGGGTCGCAAATTTGCCGGGTTTAGTGTACAAAATGAACGAGTTTAAACTTGTCGAAAATCGTAATCTCGCAAATGGGACGTTTTGGTTTCTCGAGTTGATTTCCTCAAAACCAAGGATTTAAACGAAGCGGTACGACTAGAAAAACCGAGTCGAAGGCAATGAACTCTGAAGAAAGATCAGCTGAGTTGATGCAGCAGCCTGTTTATATAAGACACACAAAAGTGCAGTTAATATTTTTTTCAGGTGCGGCTAATGTTTAATCTGAAAATTAACACGAAAAAAGACAGACATTTGTGACATTAGTAACCATGGTAATGAAACGTATCCATGGTAATGTGGGTGTGTTATTATATCCATGGTAACGAAGTCAAAAAGCCGGGAAAATTTGAAAAGTCTGGAGCTAATTATTTATCACTTAAGACTTGTTATCTGGTAATTGTTTCACGTTTATTTTTAGACGTTGATAAGGTCCTACGTCAATATCAAGTGTTTTCGTAAATTGAAATTTTCGGTCATTTCCAGATTGTATAATTTCGATGAAGATGAGTTGAATTTGAAACGAGTTCCAAGGCCGCAGGCGATAGCAGAATAAATTAACACCACTTAAGTTTAATTGCGCGTCTATTGTGGGCTCGAATAAGCAACAGCAGCAACAAAATAAAATTAGAAAAATCACGAATAAATTGTAATAACAATAACTTCCTTGTGCAGAAATAGCCACAATAGAAGCATCAGCGATAATTCATCTTGTTATTCTTTGTCCGCGATAAATATTATTAATATATTTAAAAGAGGATTTTTTCACACAAACATTGAGTCAAGGCCAAACTGAGCCCAATACAAGATTTTTGAAGCGGCCTCAAAATTCGATTCCACGTGTGTGTATTGTGCCAAAATGAATAAAAAACCGTCTATTTCTGTTTGATTTATGCGCGATTTTTTCCCTATTATTTTGAACAAAGTGCATGAGTCATTTTTAATTAAAATCAGGTACGCCACTGTATTGTAATCAAGTTTTCTCTCCTCGGATGAAGATCTGTTTCTCGAATAACCGGTTTTGGGACCTTGGCCACCGTATTACTCCCCGTAAAGTAGGTTTCTTTGTCTTCGTTTTTTTCATTTTCTAATCGGGTGAATAAAAACGCTTTTTACCCCCCCCAAATACAAATCACTTCCGCGATATTTCCACCCCTCGACTAAATATTCAAAGCACATAATCAATAACAGCTGTTAGATACAGTGCATGCGCACTCTTTTTTGACCTTGGCCTTGGCAAAGAACGAGGTTTTTTGTTAATTATTATGTAAGACGATGATTACAAACATCAACAATCCTAAAAGGCCCGCTTCACGCCGGCTAAATTTTAATTCAACCTGTTTCTCAAGGGACAAAAGACGAAACACCTGTGAGGGAACAAAGAAACGGCCCTACAGGTCCTGACACGATATTTCCGTAATCTCAGCAAGCCGTTCTTCACGTAACCATGGAAACACATTTATTTTCGTGTGATAACTAAGGGAATTGTTTATTATAACCATGGAAATGAATTTTATACCGGACGGTAACTATAGAAACGAATGGTAATTGGGGAAATTGTGGTAGTGTATCCATGGAAACAAACTAAAAACAGGGCGACTAGATTATTTGGCACCGGTAATTAGATAGTGTTGTGGTTTTACAATTAATAAATGCAGTACATTGTTATACATCTTTTTGGGGGCCTTGAAAATGGAGTCAAGGCGATATTTGCAATTTAGATTTTTTTTTGATTACTTGATAAAATTCGTCTTATGAAAGGGAAAATCCATGAATGGGAACAAAGAAAGTGCGGAAGGGCATGCGCGAGGGTTAATTCTTTGTTCTAAATTTACTTTTCGCCGTTATCGAATGTGTTATTTACTTTAATAGGTAAATAGTGTTTGGCAAATAAAAGGTGATAAACCTTATCGTGCAACACAAATAAGTGTGTATCGGAGAATGTTTGTCGTTTTCGCGTAATTTGAAGCACTTTTCGAGGAAATTGCATCGATATGAGTCATTCGTGGTGGTTAAATTGTATCAAATTCGAAAATGTTTTGTAGAAAGTAGAGGAGGGGGCTCGCGGCTTTGCCGCGTGGGTGGTAATAAAATCCAAATTTCGAATGTTTTTTTTTTATTTTCACTTTGTTTCGAATAGTACAAAAGCTTGAGAGTTGTACAGATACTGTACTATCACACAAGTAGCAAGAAACTAATTCCTACGTCTACTTCACTTATAAAACCTATAGTACAAAATATCTTAAATCTAATTATAGCCTCTTAACTTGTTTTCAATATACTCGTTTTAAAAATATATAAACATACATGTTAATGAAAATTTGTACGATCATGCATGTCTTATTATTTCACAAACAAAACTCTACTCTATATCACAAAAACAAAACACGTGACACAAATGAAAAACTCTAACTTCTAAATAAAATTTAAAAAATACTTGAAACATGTTAAGTACACAGGTACGTTATGTATTATTATAACACATATCACGATGGCAAAAATCACAGATTCCCATCGGAATCCTAATAAAAAACTCGCTCAGAGTTCGAAATACTGTCAAATGAAAAACAAACTTAAAACTAACATCACGCTGCGCTTATAAATTCATCATCAACTCTATATAAAAATAGAAAACTCTGCAAATCAGTCTCTTATTTTCGCAAAATGTAGAGTTTCTTTTTGGTCAGTTCGTATTCAGTGCTGATCACAACAGTGCTGCCTCTTGTTATTTTCCTAAAGAAGAAAAAATCACTGGTGAGAACTGATAAAATCCCCAAATTGAGTTGACTTACTTGAGGAACTGTGGCAGGAAAGTCCACCCGGCATTGGCCTGTTTGAAGGTGAGGTAAATTTCGAAAGTCGACGGTGTCGTTGGGTCAATTTTGAAATTACTCAATCTCCTGCAATCCTCCTCTCCTTCGTAGAGCAGATAGAGGGTGCACCCCTTCAGGCCGTACAGCTCCGTTTCGGCGATTTCCAGCACATCTTCGGCGACTTTCTGCAGCAGTCCGCACGGCAGCAGGACTTCGCCGCAGGATAAATGCGTCCTTTTGGCCTTCCTGATCTCCTCTTCGAGCCGCTTGGAGAGGAAAGACACCGGAGAGTCGCAATCGGACTCCTGGACTTGCCGCGACGGGTCGTAATACCAGAAATTGGACTTTTCGGACTTCTGGTAGTCCGCTAAATGGTTGGTTAGGACTTCCATTTTTTTTAACACTAGTATCACAAACGGGTGGCACCTACAAAACTTCTTGACTACCGGAGTTGCAGACCGGCTGGGGCTTTTATCGAGTTCCCCTACCGCGATGGCGGAAATGCACGAAAGGGGGCCTCGGAACGGCACGTATGGAACCGAGCGATGTTTCTTTGTTTGGAACACGATTTTTTTTTAATATTGAGAAAAAAACTGGGACGTTTAGTGAGGTGCTTTGAGGTGGATTGCGTCAGATTTTGAGGATGATGAAACTTTTGTTTAGGGTTTTGAGAGACTTACGGAGACTTGAAGACTAGTTGGCTGACCTTGATACCGATAACGGGTGATTAATACAGCGAAGATAGCGGACATTACGACATTTATTTGGACATAAAGTGAATAATATTTACAATTTTTCACTTTGTTGCACAAATTTTGATCAAAGAAAGGTTTCTTGAGCGTTTTAATAAATTATTTGCAACCCTCCTGGCCTGTGCCAGGTGAGGGCTTTGCTCTGGCCATCCCCCTCGGAAGTGAATGACAATTGACTATAAAATTCTGACGTTTCATTTGATAGTCAATGGTGCCAATTTTAGATTTCAGATTTGCCTACTTGATTTGACTAAAATTTTTGTAATTATCACAACGAAAAAATTCTGTCAATTTGACGTGAAAAAATTTTAATTTACTAAAATTTTTAATATGGCAACACTGAATTTTAATTAGTGAAAAAAGCTGTTTTCTGACCTTGAAAAATTGCGTTTACAAACTTGATTTGACTAAAACTTCAATTAAAATTTTGATTGAAAATTCCAATCTTCGAATTTATTTGTTACGAAAAATTTGCTTTTTCCAAATTCACTAAGAATTTGCTCCCAGAATTTGTATTATGGCAACACTGAATTTTAATTAATTAAACAAATGGTGTTCTGAGCTTGAAAAATGGCGTTTGCCAACTTGACTTAACTAAAACTTCTTTCTAAGTTGAAATTTTTATATTTTTGAAATCATCGCACTGAGATAATTCTTCTAAATTCTAATTTTTTTATTTATTTGACGTGAAAAAAATGTAAAAACAAATAATTTTTGTAAAATAAAAAAAAAGTTTTTCAAAATTCATTAAGAATTTTTATTTTGGCAACAGTGAATTTTAATTGATGAAACAAGTGGTGTTTTGACCCTGAAAAATTGCGTTTTCGCCAACTGGATTTGACAAAAACTTCTTCCAAAGTTGAAATTTTGACATTTTTCAAATTATCACAACGAAAAGATTCTTGCAATTTACGAATCAATCAATTTGACATCAAAAAAATTAAAAACTATTTTTTTTAATTCACTAAAATTTTTAATATGGCAACACTAAATTTTTAATTAAATAATAAAAAAAGCGGTTTTCTGACCTTCAAAAAAATTGCCTTTGCCAACTTGATTTGACTAAAACTTCTTCCTAAGTTGACATTTTGATTACAAATTCCAATTTTCAAATTTATTTGACGTGAAAAAATGTAAAAACGAATTATTTTCGTAAAGTGAGAAAACTTCACGAAGCATTTTCCCCCAGAATTTTTATTATGGCAACACTGAATTTTAGTTAATGAAAAAAGTGGTTTGCGTTTGCCAACTTGATTTGAATAAAACTTCTTCCAAAGTTGAAATTTTGACATTTTTGAAATATCCTAAATAGAAAACACTTGCAAATTCCCATTTACGCACTTATTTGATATAAAAAAAAATGTAAAAACGAATTATTTTCCTAAATTGCGGAAAATTCGGTTTTTCACAATTCACCAAGAACTTGTCCCTAAAATGTATAATATGGCAACACTGAATTTTTCTGTCGTTGAGAAATTGTGTCTACCAACTTGATGTGAGTAAAACTTAAAATTTTGACATTTTTGAAATTATCGCAACAAGAAAACTCTAGTAATTTATTTGTGGGGTGAGATGATAAAAATAGGTTTTTAAAATTCACTAAATTTTTAATTATGGCAACACTGAAAAAAGCGGTTGACCTTGAAAAATTGCGTAAAAGCCCTTTAGCCGCGAAAAATTTTTTTGTTGTTTTCTCGCTAATATTTCCCAAGACCTTGACATTAAATCAACGCAAAACAAAATTTATCGTTGTGTTTTTCGCCTTTTAATTTCTAATTCGAGTGTTACATCGAATTTAATTCAATTTCTAATTCACAAACCGATTACCCAATCTCGTAATGCATCAGGTAAATGACCCGTCAGTGTTACAATCGCAAAATTGTTAATTCCCTATCCTCTTCAACGCAAAAAATTGTAAAATTGCATGGAAAAAAACCGCTCTATAAAGGTGAGACCAGATGCGATGATGAATTCGCTCGTATCTTATCTAAAAACAGGCGACTTACGGTCTAATACAAATATTTTTTTACTTGATAAAACTGGTTAAATCAAATGACCTTAAAACCCCACTTTTGTGTGTATAAAGTTTGATCATTTCCGATGGATGATTCAACAAGGGTGTAAAATCTGATGCAACGTTTCCTTTGTTTTCACTTTTCCTTTGGGGTGGGTTAGTTAGAGGACAAGGACGCCGGAAAAACGCATGCGTCGACATCGATTTAGGAATTTTCCAGATGATCTCAACCACGAAAACGACTCACATTATGTATTTACAACTTTTTTTGCAAAATCTACACTAAATGCCTTCGTGGTAACCACAGTTATTGCACTTCTTTACCGACGAAAGAAAACAACAAACCAAACCGAGGGGAAACAACACAACACCCAAAAATATACCACATTTCGTGAATTTCCTCTTCAAGACGCCGACACGACACACGGGGCAGTTGGCCAGCAAGTTGTCCCCATTCCTACCCTGTTGTGACACTAAAACTCACATTTTTCCAAATAAACTCAACAAACACACAAAACATACCCGATTCCGAATTGGGGGCCCCGGCGGTCGTTTGCTCAAAGTTTTCTTCACCGGGTTCCTGGTTTTCGCTACGAAAAAACATACGGTTTGCGACGATTGACAGCTCTTGACAAGTCTCACTGTCAATCTGACAAAATCTTATTAAATCACAGATTTATTAAAAACAAAACAGTTTATCCTTTAACTGGCATTTTAAAAATTACATATACAGAGTGTTTGAAAAATATAAAAAATAGCCCCCTTTTTTTGATTTATTGGGATTACCCGCCGCCACTGGGCTCATTTTTAAGCGTTACTATGACAACTGTTTTTTTTTTTTTTTTTGAAGTTTCTATTACCATAGTTACAATGCATTTCCATGACAACAATAAATAAAATTCAGTGTTGTCAACATAAAAAGTTGCGAAAAGTAAAAATAATTTTATTGGACCATTAAAAGTTTCCGACCCATTAATCCACCCAGATGTTTATTTTAAAACGCCCATCATTTGTTTCGATTCCTTGACAACAAGCCTGGAATACGTGCCGGAGTAAAGGATCAAAGATGCCGAAAAAGAGAGATAGCCTCAACATCAACAGGAAACCGGACCAGGGCGGACCAATCAAAGATTCACGTTGTTTTTCCATCTCTCTCCCACATTCCCTCCTGTGGTGTTTTTCCCGTTTTAAAATCCCGAAAAAAGTGTCAAAAAACGTGTTAGTGTGTGATGTTTGGTGTGTTTTATCGTCGAAATTGTGTTTTTTGTTAGGGATTTTGACCGGTTTGTGTGTGCGTATGTCGTAGCTTGTCCCTCATCGATCGTTACAGCTGATTTTGACGGCTGTTACCAGGCAGTGCAAGAGTTCCTGATTGGTCGAATGCAGCCCCACCACCCGATCAGCTGACTCTTTGTTACAGCCGGCAGAAGCGGCCCAAGTCTCCCCCATGATGGACTGAAACCAGCACGAAAATGCTCCGAAAGCGTCTCGAGGAGGAGAAGCCGCCCTCCAAAAGCGTCTTCAGCAGCCTCCTGGTCAAGTCGCCGGATTTGGCCTCGAAGAGCATGTCTTCGGACATCATCGAGTCGGTGCTGGTGGACACTCCAGCCCCCTCGTGTAAGTACCCATAGTGCTAAATTAAGGGGGCCTTAAGACAGTCCCGTTTTAGGCTCGCCCCGCAATAGAGGACTCTGCGTGACCACCGCATCCTTGACGTATCGATTAGAGAGGGAGCTGCGAGCGGCCAAAAGGACACATCTCGCCTGCGGGGAAGTCCTGCTCCCCAGTGGACTCCTCCACAGGATTTCGCGGGACATCTTAGCGATGGCCGAGTCGGAACTCTGCGGAATTCGGGGCTGTCTCATTTGTGTCAATTTCGAGGGGCTGGAACAGTGCAGGAAACTGGCGAGCTTCAAGTGTGACCCCGAAACAGCCACCACTTTTGAACTCAAACTGACCTTCAAACAAAACCCAACCGGCTGGAATTTCATACCACAATTCATCAAGTCAGTATTTAACACATCCCCAAAACCGAAATTAAACAAACCCTTTTTTGACAGGAATCTAGCCACGGGGGGCACCATCGTAGTGAGTCCGGCGTACGTACTGACCAAGAAAAAATTATACCGTTCGATATTAGAATAAATCAAGACTGAACCAGTGACTGATTTTTGTACTAAATGTACAAGGAATGAGCCTTTCTTTAAGAGACTGCACGATCAGTGATAACAAAGAGTGATTTATTTCGAAAAGTACCTGCAAAATCTGTTCCGAGTTGCCGCGACCGTAAACAACCAGTTGTCTAGGCAACAAATGTACATTACCTAGGCAACAAACCCGTTGCTTAGTAACTAACGTTTGTTGCCTAGGTGACGATTCCAGTCGCGGCAGCTCGGACCCACGTCCAATTTTTGTTAGATTTTTATAAAGTTGAGGCGGCGTGACTGTCCAGAATGTATTTTCGTTTGTTTTTGTGATAGAAATCACACAGTATTGTTTTTCGATATTATTCAAGTATTAGGGATGCAAACCGTGTTGAAAGAATAATTTAGTGTTTAAGATTCTTGTGTGATAGTAAATTTTTGTACTTTATCAGAATTTATTATAAATAAATACATGTGAAACATGAGTTATTCCCCGTGTTTGGTTAGGTGCAATTTGAGGTTTTTCTTCCACTTGGACCTAAATGGGCATTTTCCGCACTCGAACCAGTTGTGAATGACCGAATGCCTGGCTTGGACGTGTTGTTTGAGATTGTCTTTTCGCTTCGCTCTGAATTCGCAGTGTTCGCACTCGAACCAGTGGATCTCCTCGGGGTCTGCGTGCTTCTCGGCCAGATGTCGCCGCAGGTGGATGCCCCACTTGGCCGAAAACGGGCAAGATGCGCACTTGTAGCGCCCCCTTGTCGAGTGCTTGTCTTTTTTGTGCAAGCGCAGGGAGTACTTGGAGGCGGCTTTGTAAGGGCACTGTGCGCACTCGAATTTGGCCTCTTGGTGCATGTCTCGCACGTGGCGGAGGAGATAGCCCTTGAGTTTGCCCTTGTAGGGGCACAACTCGCACGCGAACCACTGGATGTGGTCGGGGTGTTGGCGCAAAATGTGCGTCTCCAGGACTTGGAAACTGGAGGTTTTGTACGGGCATTGGGGGCATAAGTGGAGTCTCGGGGGGGCGTGAGTGGTGGTGAAATAGTGGCGGAGGGATAACAACAAGGAGTGGGTTATGAAATCGCAGTTTTTGCACTTGTAACATTTGTAATATACGTTTGAAGGCGTTTTGTGGGTGTTTTGGATATGGTGGTGCAACTCGACGAATAATTGATTCTCAAGACCGCACATTTTACAAATGTATCCTTCGAGATTTTTTACGCAAGAGAAATGATTTAGTTTTTGGTCAATTATTTCACTTTTGCATGATACGTTCATTTTTTTGTTGGAACAGTCTTGGATACATGAATTAGACATAAAATGCTTCACATAAACTCGTTTTTTCGTCTCATTTGAACTAAAATTGCCTTTATTTTCAAAAATAATTTTAGGTTAAGTGTTTGACAATGACATTGACGTTTAATGAAAATTTCCAAATATTGGACCTAACGTCTTTTTTGTGATTTCTTAAACAGTCAAAAAATATTTATAACTTAAATTGTTAATCCAGTAGGAACTCCTTGTTTCATAAAGCGAAAAACTAGGAAAATTATAATTTTGAATTGTCGTAACTTTTTTTTATTTAAATTTTTAGATTATGAGCAACTAGTCTGGTATACAGTAACGATTCTCGGAACGTACTCTCTTATGTCAAACAAATTTGAGGTTAAATTTGATCGGCGAAATGCAAAAAAGTTTTCTAAAATGCGTCAAACTCGAATCGAATTTCCACTGTTTTGATGATTTGGAATCCTACAGTTGCCCCCACTGCAGTTTCAAAACTAATTTTTTACCCCAGTTGAAAATCCATAAGTGTGAAAATAACGTAGTACCCCACAAATGTGACCATTGTGATTTTTCCTCATTTTCCCTGTTAATTTTCCTCAAACACGTGTCTAACTCATGCCTCACGAACCATACTCCTGCCCCCCACATCCGTTGGTTCTCCTGCGCGCTGTGCTCCTTTCGTTCGAAATGGAACGGCAACTTGAAGAGCCACATCGCCGCTATACACCAGCCCCCTGTGGCCCCACGCGAAACGATCAAATGCCCCCAATGTCCCTTCACCACGACTTGGGAACTGTCGCTGCGAAGACACAATTTGGTCAACACACACACTTGACGACGCGCCCCAAACACAAGTGCGAGAAATGCGACTTCGAGACACTCCGTGTGTGTGATTCCCTCAAAAGACACGTCTACGTCAAACAGATGGCACAAATGCGAGATTTGCGGTCTCAAGACCAAAAGGGCCGACAACCTCAAACGATACAAGGCCGAAACACACGGAATTTTGACAAAAACTCCACAACGCACAGTTGGCTTCTTACTGTTTCAAACAAATGAAAGCAACAATGCGGTTCAGTGCCCTTTGTGTCCCTCAAATTCCTCAAAAAACTTCATTCTAGCGAGACACCTCAGAGATAAACAAGTGAAAAAAACACAAGTCCCAATCAAGTGCAAAAAGCGCCCTTTCGAAACCCTTTGGAAAAAAAGCCTCAACATCCATGATTTACTCAAACACGGGCCTAAAGCCGGCTCTGTGCAGTTTCCATGACAATAATTGCCGTTTCCATGGTTTCCAATCAGTTGCCATAGTAACGATTACCGTTTCCATGGTTATAGCAGTCGGTTGCCATAGCAACGTGACAAACGACGAAGCGAGAGTGTAAAAAATAAACATACTTTATTATGTACACCATTTCACCAATAAATTCATTTTATTCCATTTGGTATTTGTTTCTAATCCGGGGGCAAAACCCTGAAGTAGATCACGCGTCCCACGTGGGACGCAGTGACCTGTTTTGTTGGCACTTCGTCGTCCATGTGATCGTGAACAAAGTGTGCCTTGACTGTGTGAAAGCGGTAGGATTTGAAGTCGCAGTAGCCGCATGAAAATTCGTCTTTTCTGTAGCCCCCCTTTGGTCGCTCTTCTGTCTCCTCCAAGTTTTCCACTTTTATCAATCTCGTGTGACAGTTGAATTTGTGTTGGAGGAGTTTGCTGGGGACCAGTGTGACGTAGGGACAGGAGTCGCAAGTGTGGGACTTCTCCTCCATGCAGACAACTTTGTGTTTCAGGTGGACTAGTTTGGAGTGAGTGGCGGTGTCGCAGTTTCGACAAGTGAAGATTTTCGAGAGGTGTGAGAGGTCGTAGTGAGGCGAAGCGCCAGATAAGGGGTCGTGGACGAGGTTCCAGTGGCGGTCGAAGTAGACTTTCAGGTATGTTTTGAAATTGCAACTGGGACATTCGTAAGGGTCGAGCTTCGCTGCTTGGCAATCGAACAGCGATGTGCGGAAATGGGGCACTACGGGGGCGAAGGCGTAACTGTGGTCTAACGTAAACATTTCAGTTTTAGGTTAGAAACCCCCAACCTCACTTTTTTGACATTTGAGAGTACGTTCGTTTGAAATGGAAATTGTGAAATACCTCAATTGTGACACGTCCGATGACTCCCCCGCAACACAAATTCACCTTTTTTTAACAAATCGCGTCATTTTATTTTATAATTAAGTGAAAAAATCATAAATTAACACTAAACCAAACGCGGGAAACGTGTTACTAACAGTGCTACCAACTTTTGATTCAACAATTTTGTAATTTTGAGGAATTTAAAAATGTATTTAAAAAGGATGAGATTTTTTAGGACAATACTTTAAATCCACGTGACGAATTTACTATTGCTGTAATTATTTACAGTCTAGACGAATTTATATGTACAAATTACAATGTTTGACATTTCTTATTTTTGACATTAGTACAGAAACCTGTAATTTGTCAATGTGGTTATTTATTTATTCCAGGTTTTTTAATAAATCTTTTACAAAAAAGGTTTTGCCGGGTTAATTCTAAAATTTCTAGATCTATGGAATTATATTTAACGTCAAATGTTACGAAACATGGAAAATACAGGTTATGTCTTGAACAGCTTTGATCCCACCAGTCAGGAGGGCCCCATTCGGTGCATTTTTTTCTGTGAATTTCACCCAACAGCTGGGCCTATCATTTCGTGTCAAGTAAACGACAAAAAAAATCAGTTGTGTGATTTTGAACCTGTGTTCCAGGAACCAGAACAGTACATTTCAAAGGAACTTTTCGACAGTATTAGTGTTTACATAATTACAAAAGCAGAGTTACAGAAGAGTACAATTACTGTGTAAAAACCTTTACGCTTAATTGATTTAACTAATTAATTGTTTGCTGTCAATTTCAGAACATTGTCAGATTACAAAATCTTGGGTTTTCCGGTCCGAATCGACGATAAAAAGTACCCCCGAAACGCCTACCACTTCAATTTGTGTCTAGTCTGCGACAGTAACGTCCGCACGGTTCATTACGAACCTGTGGTAATAAAATTGTCCGATTATTTAATGGCAATGGAGATTGAGAGTAGTTTTTTATCGGACGGAAAAGCAGCGACAAAACTAGCCCCAATTTTGAAACAAGTCATCGAGGAGTTGAACACGAAGGGCGAGTGCGCGCTCACAGAGGGCCCCACAGCCACCCACTTGAAAGTGGTGCACATTCGCAGCGACCCAGCCCCCGTGGCCGACCACCAAGTCCCCGTCTTCGTCAAGCCCCTCCCTGACCAGCAGTGGGACTTGACGACGCAACAAGTCGCCCCCTACATCGACGGTTTCAACCACGTGGCCCGAATCGCCGCCCTCTCCGACGTCGAAAACAACCTAGTCAAGGCTTGCGTTCAAAATCTGGTCTATTACGGAGTCGTCGCTTTAGTGCCTTTATTCCAATACGGAAACGTTTATTGCACGACCCCCCAACTCTACATCCTTGCCCACGATGTCAATTTACAAGTAATACCAACTTGAAAAATTCAAAATTTCATTCATTGATTTTAGAACAAATGTTTGAAGTTTGTAGCGGTGTCCCAAAGACAGTTACCCAATTTTCGAGATGTTTTTCGCATTTTTGCCGCAATGACACGTGGCACCACCATGCGAGACTTGTGTCTCAGGTTCAGTCCGGCCAACTTGCGCATAAACGAACGAAAATTGGTGCAATTTGGGGTGTTGGAAGGCCTGATTCGGCGAGTACACAAATACCCGATTTTGATGAGCGACACCTCCGAATTGCAAAAGTCCCTCTCGGGGGCTGCCAATCTGGACGAGATTTGCTGCACCACAGGTGTCGCCACACAACAACTCGAAGACCAGCTAGAGAGAGACCACAACATTGTCCTGTTGTGGAAATGACTGTGATAATAAAAATTCCATTGCTCTTATTGCTTTATTTACATAGTTACAGTCTGGTTGCTGTAGCAACAATCGTTACCATGCTAATTGTAACATAGTAATGATCGTTGCTATGGTAATAGTAATAAACAGTTGATGAGGATCCATGGAAACTTGATAGTTGCCATAGTAACGTTAAAAAAAAGTCAAAATGGCGCCTCGCCGCGCATGCGCGTTGGTATTTGTAGAACGCGAAACGTCCGCGATGCGCTACGCCGAAAAAATCATCGAGGCCGTCCGTGTCAGGCCTTTTCTTTACGACCAATCGCTTCAAACATTCAAGCATCTCGGTAAGAAAAACCGAAACTGGATGGAAGTGGCGAAAATAGTGTACGGTAGAGAGGACAAAGCAACAGGTCAGTGGCGTCCCCTACTTTCACATGAAAAATTGCGCTTTTTTCCAGTAAATAAGGTAAAAATCCAGTGGAAGAGTTTGCGCGACGCTTTCGTGAAGCAGCAACGGAAGCGTCAAGGCTGTGGGGGTGAAAAAATCCGTCCGTACATTTACGAGCGCGAAATGCAGTTTCTCATGCCTCATATTTTGGTGAAGGAGCGCGACGAGGAGAACTGCATCGTGCCCCTTTCGCACTTCGAGGTGAAGACGGAGGATTGCTCGAGTTTGAGCGCCTCGGGGGACTCCCAGGATGCGCCGCCGCTGGTCGAGGAGTGCGTCTGGGAGCAGCACAACGCGAAGATGACGCATCCCGTCGATGCGTTTTTCTACGGAATTGCCCAAACTGTGAAACAGTTAAAACCGGTGACAATTGCGCAAATTAAGAAAAGTGTCGCGAATATCGTGATGGATGCGGAAATTGGCGAGATTGAAGGTGTGTGAAGGGCCCCCTGTAACTGCGTAGTTGTGATGACGTAGCAGCGGCGTCATGCTTGGCGGGATTCGGAGTATGAATGACCTGCGAAGGGCGTTGCCCCCGCCTTCGCCCCCCTCGCCCTAGCGCCCCAACATCCGGTCCGGCGTTACACCAGCAGATTTGGCGGCGGCGGCGGCCACTACGGCGCCGCGTTGCCACGTTGCGCGCTTCTCCGCATCCAACGCGAAATTTCCATGTATTAACAATTATCACAATTTTGGAAAAAATTAACTGTGTTTTTCTCGTTATCCGTCTTGACACCCCTAAACTAAAGTTGGTACTACATCTCGGGTTTCAATTACTACACTGGCAACGTCGCAAGTGCGATTTTTGAAGTGAAATATATAATTTGCGTGTAAAAAAAGAATCTGTATCACAACTGCACCCTACTTACAGGTTTAGAGACAAAATACACCACTATTTCAAACACAAAAACAATATGAAAAGTGACAAAATGGCGATTGAAATGTGACGTTTTTAGAAAAAATTTAAATTGCAACCACCACAAGTTTAGCTTCAAAAAACATGCACAAAAACTAAGCATTGATTTAAAATTATTACATATAAAGTAGTTATAATTTTGTTTTTTCCCATTATCAGTCTTGCCACCCTTAAACTTAGGATTAAAAAACACTACACTGGCAGTGTGGCAACTGAGTTTTTTTGTTTTGGAGACAAAATACTTTGGTCGTCACTTTTCTGACACTAAAACTTTAATGTTAAAATGAATGACAATTTTAAATTAATGATATCTATTATATTTTCCTATCATAAATATGTACAGTTGCGGAATTAAAATTTCAGGCCATATTGTCATTTTCATAATGTAAACTCTAAAACAACCTTTACATTATTAACCTCATTTTTTACTAATGTCATGTTTATGTCATTTTGACTTAAAAAATAGCGTCACTGACAGAAAAGTTTAATTGTCAAATGTCAGTCATGATGACAGTAAAAGGTATTTTACAGTGAAATTTTTGAAGTGACAGAAAAATACTGCCCGAAATTTTAATTCCGTAACTGTACATACAACTTGTCAACTATGATTGACAGTAGCTAAAAATAAGGTTAACAGTCCTAAAGCATGCTTTACAATTTAATGTCACCGAAGTGACATTAACGACCAAAGTATTTTGTCTCCAACTGTACCTCATGTAGGAAAAAATAATTAAAAATTAGCAACGTTGTTAACATAGGATAGCAAACATAAAGATTTTTGTTATTACTTATTTTTGAAGTGACTAAATTTGTTTTAAATGACATTACACTTTTTACGTAAATCAACCTTTAAATTAAAGATTCATTTAGACTTTTACAATCTACACTTGAGTGCAAAAAATAACGCAAATAGATTTTTTTATAATGTAATTTGGCCTGTTTTTTGACATTGTTTTTGTCACAATTTCATAATTGTCAGGCATCTTCCACACTTCTATCAAGTTATTCCATTTTGTTTTTAACACTGACTATCACACTGCACTAGCAAGATCACCAAATACGATATTTCTTTTGATAGTTTACTAACCTTTTCGGAACAACCTTTTTCACACTATGTAAATCTTTTAAAATTTTGACAATTTGCGTTTCTTTTTGTACTCAAGTGTACTTAATGCACACTAATATAGAAAAGAGTATAATTAATTAATAATTGACGTTTTTTGAAAAAATGCACATAAAAAGCAAGTGTTGATTTATTAAAAATAATTATAATTTCGTAAAAAAAATATAGTGATTTTCATGACCATGCAATTGAAGGTTGGTACTAATTGACGTTTGTTGAAAAAAAATGCAAAAAAGTTGCTTGTTAGTGAAAATTGAGCGCAAATTTTGCAATGTTTGTGATATTTCCATAATATAGTTTTGTCCGTGTCGAATTGTATGATGCCAGGTGTGTATTGAGGTTATAAAATTCCCTTAGTGGTGGGAATCGTCGTCAAAGTGGCAACGTCCTCGGGGTCGTTTCTCGTTATCGAATCCTCCGAATCGACGCATGCGCTTGTCTTGTTTACAAGGAGAAGCCGCTCCGCATTGCGTCTGCGACATACGTCGCGGAATGGTGCCCCCGTTTCCTCGCCTTCACCGAGAGAGACAGTGTTAGTGCGAAGTTCCGTGTCCAGACAGTGCCGCTTCAGACGTCTACAACACATGACCGACCTCGTCAAGATGGACGCGAGTCAGTGTTAGTGTCGGAGTGGTGTAATAAAATGTGCGTTGATGATGTCGGGCAGTGAGGGTGGAGGAGGAGTGGTCCTCAGTGGCTACCTCAAAAAACTCAAAACCTCCCGAAAGAAGTTCTTCGTGCTGCGAGCCGAGACGGCGGACGCGTCCGCCAGACTGGAGTACTACGACACGGCGAAGAAGTTCAACAGTGGATTGCCCCCAAAACGGAGCATCCCGTTGAAGAATTGCTTCAACATCAACAAAAGACTGGATACCAAACACAAACACGTCATTGCGTTGTACACGAAGGACGACTGCTTCTGCGTCGTCTTGGACAACGACGACGACTTGGACAGCTGGTTGAAGGCGCTTTTGAAGCTCCAACACGGAGAGGAAGTCGTCGATGGGGAGACACCCAAACCCACGTTCGGTTAGTGACAATAATCCACTATTTCATGCGAAAAACAACACCACTCCAATACCAAAGGTTACGATGAAACGTGCAAATTGCATTCCAACAGTGGCGTAACGTGAGGGAAAAACACGAAAATGACTCATTTCAAACGGGTCAATGATTGCATTGCGTTTTCTCAACTAAAAACAACACTTTTCTAATCTTTACACACACCACTTCAAAGTTGGCAACTTGACTGCCATTTTAAACAGCAATGTTGCCAAAAAACAAGTTGGCACGATTAAATAACAATTCAACAAACGTCAACTCACCGATTGCGTGATTTATGACGCTATTAATGGATTAACTGTATTTCCTGTTTTTCGTGTTGCATTGTAACAAAAAATTAATTTGTTGTTATCTTACGCACAACACAATTCCGACCTATTTTAACCTTACTTTTTCATTCTTTACCTTGAGTTTATCTAAATTGGCACTAAAAACGTCAATTTATAGGATTTTTTCGTTTTGTTACCGTAGTTACAGACGCCAATTTGTTATATAAAAACGTTAAAATTTGACTAGGTCGTCATGGTTACCTAAAATTTGAAAATTGTTTATCACCTGTGAAGGAAACAACATTTGTATTTATATAAAAAATATTGTTCACAACGCACACAGCGATTATCTGTTTGTTTTGATATTGTGTGGCAAAGTCCGTGGAAAAATGGTGGCGTCGCGACGACATTTCGTGGGAAGGAAGGGGAGGAGGAGGACGTCGTGACGCGTGTATGTGTGTGTTTCGACGCCTGTTGTATTTCTGTCCAGCGTCCTTGGCTCCGTTCGCCCAGACGTGAAACAATTCCAAGGACGCGGAATTTTTTTTAGGGGAATTTGGAATACCAACCGAAATGGCCAACGGGAAAAACCAAAACGAATTCAAACAAGAATGTGGTAATTGTGTTTGTTGTTGAGATACTGTTAGACGTTCAATGACTAAAACACTTAACAACAAAACAAATATCTGTTAATAGAATTCCATTGAGTGTGTTGAAATTCTCGAAATTATTGTTTGAATTTTTCTCTTATTTCGGTGATGAGTCACTAAAGACAGGAACCGGACGTGTTTAAATTGCATTGTAAGAAACGAGAACGGTTCCATTGACACAATACAATAAGAAACCACCAATTAGTGTTTTATCTGTGACAAAAACTCAAATCCGACCGGAAAATGCAAATCTAGACATTCCCAAGAGAACCGGAAAAAGTGAGGATTGTTATGGGAATAATAAATTAAAATAATAATAAAAAAATAAAATATAATAATAGAAATAATAAAAAGTTGCAGGTTTTTAGTTGGACATTTTTTATCGCAATTTGCATAAAAATTGTTAATTGAGGCGAAATAGTTTCGCAGGCGGCGCCACGTTGATGTTCCAAAGTGCAACGGTTTTAATATGGCGACAGGTGTGATTCCCCATATTTACACAGCGATTACGCGGAAACTCAACCGCAAAATATTTATTGGGAAAATTCTGTTTCAATATTTTGAAAATTGTCGATATCTATCTACCAATGATCGATAAAAAAAATTGTTTACTTGTTTACTTTTGGCAATTATTCATTAACGAGCGGAAAATAAGTAGGACACTCGTAAATGTTATACCGAGCGTCATAACATGCCAATTTTAATTCGTTTTTCGCACCACACGATATAATTAACAATGTCACCTAATTCGGCGCCTTTCAAAAGCGAATTGTTGGTATTTTTAGTGTGTCGTACTGACGTCACATGTTTACGTTGTTTTACCATCAAAATCTCGCCCATTGTCTTTCATGGAATTAGAGAAAAACAACATAATAAAAATAACTCCATGACGTATATTTTTAACTGTATTTCGAGGCCCATATTTAAATTTTTTTTTGCTTTTCCGAGTCATGATAATGTATTAAATCTAATGATTGTTCACACTGCTCCAGGATGTTTTCATGTGATGTGATTATGTTGTTTACAACATAGTCGGTAAACAACGTTCGAAATTAGTCACTCTTGACGAGAATTATTTGTCGGTTATATCGTTTTGTTTTCACCATTAATTATTGTTTATCGGTTGCGTAAAATAACGCCCACCGCAAAGCAATTTTTTTTACAATACTTTCACTCGAAAAACAAGAATTTTGCAGTTTTCTACGCCACTGGAATGATGCCAACCTCTAAAAAATCAATGTTCCAATTCCAGCATTCCATCGATGCTTGTCATTATTATTATTATTATTATTTCCTGTTTTATTTTCGGTGAATCACTAATTTTTCTCGATTCCTCCGACTCGAAATTGATTTGGCAGACCGTTTTAGTCGCCCACAGACAATTATAAATAATTTCGTTGAAGTTCAGACTGACGGACAGACGGAAAGACCTACTTTTCATAACTTATTTTTTTTTTACTTGATTTTGTGAATGTTTGAAGATTTGGCCGTTCATTTCATGAATAATTCACTATGCTATCTGTTTCCTGTTGTCGTAAGTGCGTAAACTATACGTCAATTGATTATTTTAACCTAACGGTGCAAAAAGAACCAAGGAATGCAAAAAAAAAATTAACGGAGATACGGACACAAGATCATCTGTTATGATAAATATACGAGATAAGTCAAGGACGAGGTGTGGAGGTTATCAAATTAACACAAAAAATGCTATTAATAAAGAATTTGGGTATTTTTAGAAATTTTGGGGATTTTTTTTTTTTGATTGGCAACAGTGACTTTTTGGAGCAGTGTTGTCGGTTTGTCGAAAACTGGATTTTTTTTTTAAGTATGTTTTTTGTTTCAGAACACGTGTGGCAAGTGACTGTACTTAATCGAGGCCTCGGAAATGCCGGTCTAACCGGAAATTACCGCCTCTGTCTTACCGACAAGACTTTAAGTCTGATCAAAAGAGACTGCGAAAAACCAACAATCGAACTGAATCTTTCGAATATTCGAAGTTGCGGAAATCTCCGTGATTTTTTCTTCTTGGAGGTGAGTAACAACAGTAATACCAACACAATTGACACGTTGCCAACTTTACACCAGACAAAACAACGAATTTCTTGCGTTCTTAAAATACCATTCGGTGTTGAATTTCATTCTGTATAAAATGATAAGCGATTACCAAGTTCAAGGGGAATTACAAGATTGACCTTGGTGTTTTTTCTTTTTTCCAGATTGGTAGATCGAGTACTTTGGGTGCTGGTGAATTATGGATGCAAACGGAAGACAACAACATTGCCCAAAATGTGCATTCGACTGTTTTCCAGTAAGGAAATTTTTTTTTTATTTCTATCAGTGCTGGCAACTATATCGAAATAAATAAACTCGACTATTCCGGTTTCGTTATTTTTAAGTATTTCTTTTCGTAAACAATTCGAGGAAATCGATCACGCGTGTGTATATTTCGACGATTTTCAAGTGTTGTACAAATATTGCTCATATTGTGTATTATCGGTAATCTATTGGCAACACTGAGTAATTGTGATATCAACGCGGTACAGGTGACGCCAATTCCAGCGCCCGTCCGTCGAAAATGAATGACATTTGTCCATAAAAATTTGACGTTTGAATTTGATGGTCAATGGTGCCAAATTAAGAAAAATTAGTCTCAAATTTTTTTTGAAATCGAAGCGGCAACACTGTTGCGTTGATAACCATTTCGGAATTTTTTTTGTTTCTTTATTTGGGTGCCATACAAAATAGCAGTTTATTGGCAACACTGAGTAATTGAGATATCAACGTGGTGCAAGTGACGGCAATTCCAGTACCCGTCCGTCGAAAATGAATGACATTTGGCTATAAAAATTTGACGTTTGAATTTGGTAGTCAAGGGGCCAAATTAAGAAAAAATAGGCTTAAATTATATTTTAATCAAAGCGGCAAAAACGTTGCGTTGATAACAATTTCAATTTTTTTTGCCAAAAATGGCAGTTTATTGGCAACACTGAACAATTGTGATATCAACTCGATGCAGATGACGGTCGTCCGACAAAAATGAACGACATTTAACTATAAAAACTTGACGTTTGAATTTGATGGTCAATGGTGCCAAATTAAGAAAAATTAGTCTTAAATAATTTTTTTAATCGAAGCGGCAAAAACGTTGCGCTGATAACAATTTCGGAATTTTTTTGCCAAAATGGCAGTTTATTGGCAACACTGAGTAATTGTGATATTAACGCGGTGCAGATGACGGCCGTCCGTCGAAAATGAATGACATTTGACTGTAAAAACTTGACGTTTGAATTTGATAGTCAAGAGTGCCAAATTAAGAAAAAATAGTATCAAAAAATAGTTTAATCGAAACGTCGATGTTTACCGAGGAATTTAAACACACCGTGATAACAACAATGTTGCTCTGATAACAATTTCGGAATATTTTTTGTTTGTTTATTTGTATTGTAATACACTTTAAAATTTATAATAACACGGCGATTATCTACGTGAAATTTATCACTGGCGCCTAACAATAAATAACAGCTGTTGTAATTGCCATGTGTGACGTCGTCGATGATTTGCAAAACCGAATAAATTGTTAATTGCCAACTTGACAAAACTTTTTTTTCCCTCTAGTGCCATGACTACCAACAGCAGCAACAAGGATGAATTTGGTCCTAAAAGCCGTAATCGTTCCTCATCTGCAACTGAATCCTCCAAACCAAACATGACGCGCAAAATTCATACCAACATCGCACCCAAATGTCATATATTGCTACCAGGTAATAAAAAAAAAACTGAATTTTTCTAACAAAATTTGTCTCCTATTCTGTCTTTGCTGTCCCATCGTTTGTAGTATAGTTTTTAGTAGTGTTTTTCCTCCTTTAACTTCCAGATGTGTTCCACACTAGTGACACACAGGTCAATCCCGCGGGCAGCTCCACGCAGCACCCTCTCGGTATGATTTTTATCCTTCCCACTCCTCCCAAGTGTATGCAATATGTAACACATCGATGTATTGTTGATTGCATATACAAGGGATTGTCTTGTGGTGTTTTTTGTGTTGTGGGTGTTGGGTGAATTTCATGTCTAATCTTTCATTTTAAACCATTTGGGGTTGATAATTTATGAGACAAGGCGCTGTTAAATATGCTAATATGTGGTTGCATGGGGCTTGCAGTGAGCGGTGTTGCCAGTTTTTATCAACATCTAATCCAGAGAGGAACAAAAGCATCAGAACGTCGACATTCAATATCAGGTCTGTAAATGTTGCTTAAACAGTCGCAAATCAGGTCCTTGATTTGTTTTTGTTTTTTTTTTTTTAACCAAAACCTCACTCTATCGGGATGTTTGTTTATCCTTCAGCAGGTAGTCTAACCCATTGTGGCGTCATCAGCCATCAGCGCACTCAATCACTGCCCTTAGCGAATCCTGCACCTCTTTCCGATCACTCGCACTCACGAAAACGCCCCAAATGTACGTATCATACGCATAATCATCACCCCCTTCCACTCCCTAACACACACCCCGAGTTACATACTGTATTTTTCTTGCAGGTATGAGTCGGGAACGGTGCGATTCAATGCCGTCACGGGCACGAACCACATCCGAGGGGGGGAATCACCGACATTTGAATCCTTATCGGCCGGCGTCGCTCTACGGTCGTGATATTTCGCATAGTCCACCATTGGGCAGTCCGGTGAGTCCCCCGTGTTCTACCGATTCGGCGGGAAGTTCGTATAGTTTGACTGATGAAACGGACGTTTGTACGGAATTGGAACCGAGTTTGGGACGATATGGACATTCATTGACACCTGACGAGGCGATTGCCGAGGAGGATTGTCCCGATAGTCCACCCTATAATAATTATATTTCAATGACATTGCATAGTTCCGATGATGGATATGTGGATATGTCACCAAGAGGAAGACATCATAATTCACCTACGGCGAGTATGAGTAGTGTCACTTCGGGGACTCCCTCAACCGATATGAGATTCGCTGAATATCCCCTTGAGAAAGTTACATCGTATTTGGCCGAAGATGATGGTCGACCAGCTCGTGCATATTCGGTCGGTTCCAAACCCGAAAGTTACCGAAAATATACGGAAAAACTCGGAAATAATGATAATTTACGTGAACGTGCAATGAGTGTTGGTTCTAAAACGAAGAAATTACCGGCAAGAGTTTTACCACCGCATGGGTACCATCATCAAGGTACCAAATCGTCAAGTGCACCAATTTTAACCAATTCACGTGGTCAAGGTTCTTATGGTTCCATTGGTCCAATGGACGATCTCATGGAAATGGATTTCAGTCATAATTCCGGTTATATGGACATGAAACCGGTTAATACCGGTTATGTGGAAATGAAACCGGGACGTAAACCGGAAACGTCACCTTATGTTGACATGTCATCGGGTTCTTCCCCGGCGAAACCATCATTTATTTCATCACCGACACCACAATCCGATGTTTACATGGAAATGGATCCGAGAAAAAATCACAATGAGTATTTAGCGATGAGTTTTAAGAAAATGCCAAGTCCGGGGGGAAGTCCCGGGACGCCTGAAGGTTACGTTGAAATGTCGCTCGGTCGTGGCCATAGCCTCACCGAAGACTACGCCAACATGTCCCTAAACAATACTAAAAAACGAACCAATCGTAATAAGAATCGTTCAGAACCAATCAACATTCAGAATTCGCAACGGGGCGGTCCTAATCCCCGTTCAATCCTTCTCGCACGTAAACACTCGACTGGAACTCCGCCCACTATGTATCTCCCTCTTACTGTAGCCACGCCTCACGATTCGAAAGACAGTTCAAGTTCTAGTATCAATACCCCTTCCAGTTCCTCGACAATTTTCCCTATAAGTCTGAATAGTCCGTCGTTGAAAGCCACGCCCGATTACATCCCAATGGATTTCGACAAATCGGATTACGTGAATTACGATCCTAAACCGGGAGGGGAGGAATCACGACCAATCAACAACGAGAATAATGACGACGAAGGTCGAGCTTATGAAGTTCTAAGGCCGAGTTCGAGCGAATCATGTTCGACGATCGGGGGTTCTCGGCCGGCGTCGGTCACTTCCGCGCATATGCATTACGCGAGCTTGGATTTGGATGAGGGGAATCGTAGTCCGAGGACGGTGAAAGGGAGTGGGGGGGAGCAAGGGGAAGTGACGTTGACGTATGCCGCCATTGATTTTGTTAAAAGTGAAGGATTGAAGCATAATTCGGTGGCGGCGACGACGACGACGACGACGACGACAAATGCGAAAGTTAAACATTGAAAGAGACTGATTTTTAGGTAATTAGGGTTACCAGGACTTGTCATATCCGGTTGACTTGATTTATTATATATACATGTATAAGGATTAAACAATTGTTGGATGTTTCAGTAGGCGAAATAGTGAAATTTGGTTTTGTTTGTTTGTTTGTTTGAAACGGAAACGTGTAATGTTTTTTTGCAAATTATAGGATATTTAGAGTAATTTGTAAACATATCACCTCCCGTTACAAAGCTAGGAAATGAGAGGAGGCGATTGTGGTGACCTCTCTCTATGTCTATGTACACAATAAATGTTACTAGATCTCTAAAGATTGAATGAAAGAGAAGAAATGTTAAAGATCAGCATTCCAGATCAGGGGTACAATCATTAGTGAATTACTTTTCCCCAAGGACTAGTGAAAATTTTTAAGTATCATCACAAGAGATATTTTATATACTACAATGATGGTAAAGCAAGTTAATGTAATTATATATATATATTTCTATTTCACATTCTTAAAGCAATGTTATGTAATTGTACTATATTATCTAAACCTGTTTGTAATTAAAACAACAATGTAGTTAGACGAAGCGAGTTGTAAACATATTATTCTTATTGAGGCTCAATTTATAATTCCTATGTAGTCATAAAATGACATATTTTTGTTTTTTAATTTATGTAAGTTGTATATTCTAAGTGTTAATTTATTTGTATTTATGCTTTGATTTATCCTAAAATACCAAAACATCAGAATTGTTCCACTGCAAAACTGCCATAATGTGAAATTAGTGAAATTTTATATGCAACAACAGGTGCTAAAATATACAAGAACTCTTATTTATTTCGAATGACAGTGCCTTTACACAGTTTTTTATTTGAATATTTTTTAAAAATTAGCATTTTATTTTTGTTGCTTTTAGTCGTAGAACATTCTACACGTGTCGATTCGGTTTTATTTATTTTTTACTACTTTTAAACGATTCAAGAGCCTTGACTTATCATAAATAAAAAATTAGAAAATATATTAATAAAATGCTATATAATCCCGAGATAGCTTATGCAATTTATGTAGTCATGCATGTAAAATTATTAATGTGAAAATTAGGAAATTTGCTATATGTATAGAAAATTGGTCATTTTCCAAATACTCTGTCTTGACACCAATCCAGAATATTTTTCTCACTAATTACCCAAAAAAAAAGAAAAATAACAACAAACATATTCTGGATGGTGATTCAATTTGAAAAACAAAGAAATTTTTACTCCTATAATTTGCGAAATTTGTGTAATAAAAACATCAATCTGTTTCGAGCACTAAGATAGTCTCTGTACATAATATTGGCTGCCTATATTTTTTTTTGTAAATCGACAAATAAATTATTTCATTTAAAAATCATTTTTTATTCACAAATAAATACAAAAATAAATAAAAATGTTGTTTGGGGGGGGAAATTACCATCCGTAGCTGAAACCCAGCCCGCTGTAGGTCACGTGCGAGACAGCGGGGGCGGCGGAATAGGCCACGCCGATGGCAGGGGCGGCGGCGTAGTGAGCAACGGGGGCGGCGGCGTAGTGGGCAACGGGGGCGGCGAATTGCACTCCCGGATTCGAGACTCTAACGTCAGCTTTGCTCACGCTGGAAAAGGGGGTGTCGATGGTCTTGGAGTAGGTGGAGACTTGGCCCAGGTTGGCAAAACTGCGGAAGGTGTTGGAGTGTTGGGAGGTGATCGTGGGGGCTGCATAAGAGACAGCGGGGGCCGGCAGAAGACCGGCTTTAGCGCACACCAAAACGCCAGCAAGGATTACCAACTGAAACACGAATTAAAAAAAAAAACACTGCTTTGTGTGTGTTTACTTACTTTGAGGGACATGTTGTGTGTTTGTGATCAATTTTTCGTCGGGAGGTTTTTATATTGTGTTGATTTGCCTCGAGGGAGTGTTATTACACTTTCGTTTTCGTCGGTAGAGCCGACGCCCCTCGAAATTGGGTCGGTTTAATACCATATGACATCATTACAAAAGTTTCACAACTGTTTTTGAATTTTTATACCGTGATCGGATTTTTTTACGACCTAAATAAATAAAGTCAACGCACTTGGAATTATAACAAAAACCTGTCTTATTTGGTTCAAGGACCGCATTTCATTTTCCTTCAATCATGATTTTCGTTGTGTTTTCAATTTTAAGCAAACTACAAACTAAGGGTTATAACCGATTTTTAGTCAAATTAATCTTTTATTTGTTCCACTCTGTATATTTTTTAACAGGGATAAGAAATGTTTTGATTAAATCGACTTTGAACGTAATGTATGTGCTTAATTTACTAATTTAATTTTAAAAAAGTCTTTTTTTAACGGAAATGTGAAACAATAACGTTGCCACCACTAGCAAAATATTCATAGTAATTTTAATGTAAGAAGTTGGCAGTTACAGTTTTAACATAATCTGAAAACATCAAAAATGTCATATGAAACGTCAAAATTTTGACATTTCAACACGAAAACAACTGTTTTTTTAATCTCCTGCGACAATAACAAAGCATACCATTTTTTTCACCAAAATTTTAACATGGTGATTTCAAACTTTAAAGTAATAGTATATTACAATCACAGTGGGCTCAAATATAGAGCCCAAGAGAAATGAGGCTTGCTAATAATAACAAATAAATGTAAATAAATTGTGCATATAAATAAATTAAATTTTAGACATTTGATATCCGTAACCGTGGTAATCTTTATAACATTACTTCCCGACCACGGGATGTGATGACAAATTTTCCGACCTACAAAAAATTATGCATCAACATATTACTAAAGTCGCTGTTAAATCATAGTGGACACTTCTCTGGGTAAATTTGTAAGAATTGAGTTGTGTAAATCTGACTTTAAACATCCAATTCGGGACATATCTATTAAAAATGACGATTCTGAAAAAGTCAGGTTAGAATACTTCACATATCGTATAAAATCTAGTGCGCCTGTTACAATTGTTGACACAATTTAGTTATTTCTGCTGCCAACATAGACACAACCCACACACTAGAGGTCGCGAGTAGGGGTTGCCAACTTTGAAATAAATTTAACAGGCACTATAAATTGACCGCGACTTTATAGTGATGGTAAATAAAAAATAAGAAAATTTGATCTTGATTATCTTAATTCTATCCTTCAATAATGATTTTAGTTCGTTGTGTTATCGAATTTATAAAATGGTTTTTTAAGCAAATACTGGGGTTAAGACTGATTTTTAGTCAAATAAGTTGTATTTTGCTCCACACTGTAATTTTTTTTCAGAGATGAGAATGAGAACTGAAACGTGATGTAGGTAATTTAATTTCAGGTAAAGTCTGTTTTTTTAAAGGAACTGTCAGACAATCTTAACGTTGGCATCACTAGCAAATTTATTCATGGTAATTTTAATAAAGGAAGTTGGCAGTTCCGCTTTTTGATTTATTAATTTGAAAACAAATGCCAAAAACAGTCAAACAGTTCTAACGTTGGCTACACTAGCAAATTTATTCATGGTATTTATAATAAAGGAAGTTGGCAGTTCCGCTTTTTGGTTTATTAGTTTGAAAACATGTCAAAAAACGTCAAAATTTTGACATTTCAAACATAACCAAATTTTCTAGAGACAAAAAAAGGTAACAAGGCACACCAACTTTTTCAATCAAAGGTAACAAAAATAGCCTTTCAAGAACTCAATTTATCAACACCAAAAGTGTTATAATTTATAGCGTGTTTGTTGAAAACACTTTTCTTTAATTTCACCCATTCATTAAGACTTTCTAATGAGGTAATTTGTGTAATTTCCTCGGGCCGGAAATTCCGCACAAGTTCAAGTTTATGTAAGAAGTGTAACCGACCCATTGACCTAGAAAATCTGCACTGAGAAGAAGAAGATGCTCGAAACTGTTAGTCGTGCACGTGTTTCGCGTCCAAACTCCTCACAAAAATGAAGAAGAAACTGTGCTTTCTTCTCCTTTACATAGCCCCCATAACGGCGGCGCCAAAACTGCCGAATTTCGACATTTGGAGTGACAACAATGGAGTGAGCCCCGATGTGGACGCCTCCCGCCTACCCAAAGGTTTGTATTTCCCCCGCGAAACTTTCTCAATTGGATTTTCCCCCAGTTTTGAATTTTTTCCCCGTCCCGGTGGAGGAGGAATGCCTCTCGGACGACCGGCGTCGCCGAGGCATCTGCATGAACGCCTACGAGTGCAAAATCGAAGGGGGCACTTCCCACGGGGCTTGCGCCCTCGGCTTCGGCGTGTGCTGCGTCTGTAAGCCTTTCAAATCCCGAGACAAGCCCAAAAAACCCCAAATTCGAATTACAGTCACCGCCACCTGCAACGAAGAAATCCACAATAACATCACCTATTTCGTGAACCCCCATTTCCCGGATTTGTCCAAAGACATGGACTCGTGTTCCCTCACAGTGAAGAAAATTGACCCGGAAATATCGCAATTTCGACTCGATTTCATCCATTTTAATCTAGGACAACCGAATCGCAAAACCGGAGTTTGCGAAGACGATGTTTTCGTCCTGATTGGTGGACGGAGACAATTGAAACTGTGTGGGTTAAACAGCGGCCAACACGGTAATTCCCCCAAAATTGAATTATCATGTGATTTCCCCAATTTTAGTCTATTTCGATGTCGAGAATTTGGATTCGGTGGCCAGGATCGAAATGAAATTGGGGAAAAAAGCAGTGACGCGTTTGTGGGAAGTCCGGGTTACCCAAATCCCCTTTACCCAAAGAGCGCCCGTTGGGTGTTTGCAATACCACACGGGAACCACCGGAACTGTCAAAACGATGAATTTCGCCGAAAATGGCCGACATTTAGCCGATCAAGACTACAATATTTGCATTCGACAGGAGCAAGAAATGTGCAGTATAGTATACGAGCCGTGTCACGAGAACGCCTTCCGAATATCGCCGAACAATGACGAAGATGTGATCGAGGATGTGGGCTCGGGGGAAGCACCGGAATCGAGAGCCGACGAGTGCTCGGATAAAGTCGTATTGCCGTGCGACTCCGAGGATTTACTAATGGTAGAAATTGAGGAGTTTTTCCCCAAATTGTATTTGTTTTTCAGCCGCAAGCTGTCGGACCTGGTTTTTGTACATTGGTACATTGCGGGGAATCCCTATGCCCGGCCGGGGAAAACCCCTGTCGTATCGAAAGCAGCATCACGCCGTTCGTGATCGGAGTCCATTTCGGGTCCAGTGTGGGGGAATCCCCGCCCGATGATAATCTAGGAATGTGTCTTAATTACGAGCAAATGCCATGTAACGTGTGATTTTTTTTTAATTTATTGTTAAAAACTAGTCAAATATAAAAATTAGGAATGTTTTTGGTGTTTTCTTGAGCAATACTGGTCAGGAATCATCTTCGAGGCACTCGGTTTTTACCTCTTCGTCCTCATGGATGAGATACTCGTCTTTTGCTTTGATATGAATGAATCTGAAAAAATTGTAACAAAAAATTGTTTTTTTTTAAATAAATTGACTCACAAGATTAAAACAAAAACGGCCATTTGAGTGGCCATCGTGAGATAAAAAATTGCATTAGGATGCGTGTGAATAGTCGCATTGTACACTTTACTGTACATCGTACCCGAAATTAGGGGAATGGCGTTGTCTGCAACTGCCAGCACTGAGAGCGTTTTACCTGAAACACAAAAATCACCAAACTGGGTGGTTGGCACCACGTCATTTACCTTTTTCGGAATTTGCGACTAATTTGGAGACCATTGACCTAATCACGGGGGCTACGATGGGGCCAATTGCCACAAATACGCCTCCTGGGTATAAAAATTAAGTTAAGTCAATTTTTTGCAACACAAGCATATGCAACCAATATTACGTGTTGTATTGTTGGTTGCAGACTTGAATAATGATAAGTTAGGAAAAATATGTTATGTGATGATTGTCGCACCTAGATAGAACATCCACGCGTCGTCGGCCATGGCGAAGCAAATTCGCCCCACGGAGTGCGCTAGGGCACCAATCATGATGATGATTGTGTCCCTCCAGCCGAAGACTCTGCTCATTAGTGGCATAGCGAGGAGGAGGAAGACGTCCTGGATGGCCGATTGTACCGTCCGAAAATTACTAAACTCGTCAAATGTCCACTTGAATATCAATTGGACGTATAAATAGCTCATGGCTTTTTCGTCTCTTTGAAACGTGTAAAAAGCCATCATTAGGATTAAAATCAGGAGGTAAGACCTCCGGTTATGACGTCGTGACTTGAAGAGTGTTTTTCCCGTATCCACGACGTGGTTATAATCGAAAAAGTCGGTGAAGAGATTCGGGGCTTCACTCAGCGGCTTTTGGCGGTTATTCGTCCGCCAATCTAGTCGCAAATAACTGTAGACTATCGACAGGACTAAAAGAGCGACGTTGATACTGAACATAATCGCGTAGGATTTGTCCACGACTTGGTTGAATAGAACTTTGCCTAAAAAAATGTGTATTAAATCGCGTTTAAAAAAAACTAGGGAATTTTGTGTCGGTTGGTGACACGTAGCAGAATTATTCAAGTAGGCGTTGAAAAAATAACTCGAACTGTGCGTTATTTGAAAATGAAATTTGATCACTTTTTCATGTTCACCACCGAAAATTCCGGAAATCGTTAAATTTCCTAAAAAATTGTGTATTAACTCGTGTTAAAAAAAACTAGGAAATTTTGTGGTAACGGTTGGTAACACGTAGCAGAATTACTCAAGAAGGCATTGAAAAATCAACTCAGATTGACATTTGTCATTCTTGTGCGTTATCTGAAAATGAATTTTGACCACTTTTTCATGTTCACCACCGAAAATCTCGGAAATTGATAAGTTCCCTAAAAAATTGTGTTTTTTCAAAAAAAAAAACTAGGAAATTTTGTGTCGGTTGGTAACACGTAGCAGAATTATTCAAGAAGGCGTCGATAAATCAACTCGGACTGACATGTGTCATTCTTGTGCGATATTTGAAAATGAATTTGACGATTTTTCCATGTTCACCACTGAAAATTCCGGAAATTGTTAAATTTCCTAAAAAATTGTGTATTAAAACGTGTTTAAAAAAAATTGGGAATTTTGTGTCGGTTGGTAACACGTATTTTGACGATTTTTTCATGTTCACCAGGGAAAATTCCGGAAATTGGTAACTTTATTCCAATTGTCATTGTCACCAACATTAGAAACACAAAACACACTAGATCATTACCGCACTCAAAGTGTTTTGGAGTCGTACCTAGAGCAATCCCCGTGGGCATCGTCGCCAAGTAGCACACCTCCAAGAGCGTGACCCTCATCGTGCGACTCTCCTGCGAGGAAACATCCACTAAGTAGGTAAAAGCCGCGGCGAAGATGGCCACATCGGCCCCCGTGAGCGCCATGGGTAGCGTCGCCGTGTACACGACATACTCCAAAGGCCACGCATCCTGCGTGGCGTTCACCACCACCATCGCCGAGTAGTACAGCTTGCCGGTGAGGCCGATCAGGAGGGGCAGTTTCCTGCCGCGTTTGTCGGACCAAGCCCCCATGAACAGGGCCAAAATGATGGGCCCCACATGCCCCGCCACGTCATTGTACAAGTGGAAGTTGGACACGGTCACTTGCACCTCCTTGTTGAGCTCCTTGTACTCGGTGAGGTTGTCGCAAATGGAGGCGTTGAGGCCGTGGTTGACACGACAGGCCTTGTTCACGAAGAAGGCCTGCTCCACCACCGAGGTGGTCATGAACGCCATCATGTAGAGCACCATGGTGGGCTCCACGGTGATGAGCGAGAGGTAGTGCAAGAGGGGCCGGCGCTCCGAGCCCCACGGCGAAGGCATCTAAATAGCCAATAAATTAACTTTTTTACCAAAAAATTGCCTTACATTGGTCACATTTTTCGTGACCAAAAGTGAGGTTAAGTTGCGAAATTAACGTAAAAAACAAGTTTTTACCAATTTCGGCAATTAAATCGTCTTTGAAAACAATTACAAAACACTTTAATTGATTTTGTTTTGAGTTATTGGCAAATTTTCCATAAAAACCGAGCCGATGGAATTATTACTAAAAGTGAGGTTAAGTTGCGCAATCAAATTATCGTAAAAACACGTTTTAACAAGTTGGGCAATTAAATAGTCTTAGAAAACAATTACAAAACACTTTAATTTGATTTATTGTCAAAATTTTCATAAAAAAACAGAAAATTTAATTTTGAATAGGGCCCCCTTGCATGGTTTTCAGAGTTGCTAAGTTATAGAAAATTACTAATCTGCCTAAATCCCCAAGTCGATGTCTTATCTCCCCAATTTGGTGTAAAAAATTCCTAAATTGCGTCATAAAAATGTAATAAAATTTGTTTTATTTCAGTTGTAAAAAATCTGATTCTTACCTTGACGCGACTGTGAGGTAAATTGAAACGTTTTTATGCTATCGTATTCGTAAAAAGATGACTAATTTGCATATTTCCGTTAATAGAAGAAGTTCAAATACTTGAGTTGAGAACAGGTTGAGTAATATTTTTTTTGCATTTATTAATATTGCGTGATAAAATCTAGTACCTACCTTATTTGTAATATGTTCGGTTGAGGTCATTTTTCAAAATTCAAGCTCCTATTATTGATTTTTTTTTTAAGACCAAGAAACCAGTTTTTGGCCCCCCAACACTGTCAAAACATGCTTCAAATGATACTAAACTTGGGTCTTTTATCAGGTCATTAAGACACAATGTTCAACTATTGTTCTATTTAATCACGGCAATCAACAAATTAAAAATAATCCCGAAAAAACATCTTTACATAATAATTATCGTCTGTGGTTCAATAAATAAGCTTAAAGGTTACTCAAGGATGTATTTATTTAAGATTGTTGATAAATCGGTGATTGTATTTATCAAGTGTGTCACAAGAAAACACTCGGAAATAATTAAATTCACACTATTTATTAGTAAAGTAATTAAAATAATAGAAAAATCAAGCCGTGGCTTGGAGATGCTTATGCACACACTCCTCCTTATTAATAAGATGCGTAGTTTTGTTGACCAATTGCATGAGAGACGCCAAATCGTGTGCCCAATCATTGAGCACATCGCTGGGGTCCTTACTTTGTTGAAAATGCACAACCCCCGAAGGCCTATCAGTCTTGGCTTGCACACTTTTACTAACCACCATTTGCGACAAAAACTCCTCGGTTTCACCCGGTGACAAGTCCAACAAATCGGCCATTCTTGCAATCTTAATCCTGGTGTAGTACTTCGCCATGACACGAATATTGTGCTCAACGACACGATTCCTGAAACTTGAAATTAATATTTTTCAAAAAAAAACCCAAACTCACTTTAAATCATTCCAACGTTTTTTGGCTTGCTCATTTCCACTGAAAACCGGTGTTGAGAGCAACTCTTTTTCGTAAATTTCACACAAACCCGACCATTTGATCAATTCTGAGGTGGTGAAGAGTTTTAATAATTGTTTGTACATTGGGATTTCCTCGAGGACTTTATCAGTCAAGACACGATGTGTCAAATCGGCTTGTTCGTTGTCATGGGGGGCTAGTATTAAGTACAAGACAACGGCACGTGCGGCCTTTTGGCGTTCCAGAGGCTCCGATTGGATATTAGGTGTGTTTAAAACAGCCCTATAGTGCTTACAAGTGGCCAAATAGGAGCCTTCATGCTGGTCCAACTCCATCATAAGTCGGTAATATTTCAATTTCAAGTCTTGGGTGCCCTCATCATCGAAAAACTTCGTATTGATTTTCTTCGAAATGATTTGGGTCCTGATATAGTCCTGTTTGGCCAAACATAACCTCATTTGTTCCAAAATCAACTCAACTTTCTCTCTTTTGTCCATTGAACCGTAGGTTTCGACTTGTAATTCTTGGATTATATTCGCCGCTTCGGAGATGTCGCCTTCTTCTTCGCGTATTTTCGCTAGTTTGTGCGTCAATCTCGCTCTTTCGACCTCGACGTAGATTTTACCCTCTGTGACCTGTCGTAGAGTGTCAATTAGTTTGATTTTTGTCTCTTTATCGGGGGTTTGGTCCACGTAAGAGCAACATTCCTGGACCATTTTCGCCACGGCTTGTTTCAATTGGGAGCGTCGTTTGGTTAGAAGGACGATGTGTTCGTTGAGAGCGCCCCAATTGTGGGCCTCTTTGCAGATTTGGACGATGGCGACTAGGACGCGGCCGGTGGAGACCATGTCGGCCCCGGTGCGGGTTTGCTTCTCAAGGGCTAGGAGCTGGTCAAGGGCGTCGTGGAGTTTGCCCCCTTGGGCCAGTTTCTTGCATTCGGGGATTTTCTCGTCGCATGTCGAGCTATAGTCCACCTCCATTTTCACGATCTTGCCGGAATCGGTCGCTATTGAGTCCATTTTGGTGGCTAACTAAAATAAGTTGATTTGAAAAATGTAACATAACCTCAAAAAATTAAATTCGAAATTGTGCAAAACTAGAAGCAATTAACGAACTAATTTAGACTGGAATCAACTTTAATTAACTTAATTATGGAAATTTTACTTACTTTGTGTCACGAAACAACAGTTTTTTGATGATTTTTCAATTCACAATAAATAGCCAGTCATCAAGACTTTTGACATTGGTAATCAGGGTTACCAACGGCGTTTTACTAAAAGTCTTTAAAGTTCAACAAAATGACAAAAACTCAAAAAACCTTATAATATAGCTCCAAGTTTTTTAAATTAAACTAACAAAAGAGAGATTCAGAAAATGGCAAACAAAAATTTTTAACGAATAGGGATCTAGGCTCGAAATTAGTTTCTTTAATACAGAGCAAAAAATATATCTACCCTTGTAAAGTTTTATATTAAGCTTATTAAAAGTTACCAGTAGTTGCAAAAAGTTTAATTTTGAGACATTTTTTTAAATCTGTTTATTAATTCTTGAATGAAAATCAAAATCCGCTAGAACTAGTAAAAAATTCTCTAAGTTGGCGACACTTTTTGTGACTGTTGACTGTTTATAAAAAAAAAATTCGGTTTATCTTTCATCATTGAAAGTTGTCTAAAAACCAATTTGCTATTTATTTTATAATTGTTGACTATTAAAGAAATAAGCTCGGGTTGGGGTCCTATTTTAAAAACTCTACGTTGGCAACAATGCGCAATGACAGGCCGATTTCCAAATGACAAGTGTAAACGAATGTAATTAAATTTTATAGAATTATTCTTGAATTAAACCTGAATTACTTGTTGTCAAGTAGAGAAGATAACGGATAAATCGATAATAGTGTCATTTCCTTCAATGCACGTAATTGTAATGTTGCAAAATGGAACAATTCAATAAAGGTAAAAATTTCATTACCCTTTAAACTTCCATTGATAGTCCTCGAATTTGTAGCCAACTAACACCTCCCGACCTTCTAAGCCACCAACTAACCCTTTTTTATAAAATATGAGTAAAAAGAAAGACGGTAAAATTACATTAGGAATGTTAAAAGGTAAAAGGTATATGTCGTGTGTTGTGACACTTTATAATACCCATTTGTTTGTAGTTACTAGTCGTAATTTTAACGAATTTGCCCCAAATTCACACATTTGCATTTTTTTAGGTAAACCAGTCACCACTTCAGTTCCTACGATTTCCATCAAATTTCACGCAAATGCAGAACAGTTAGAGGAATTGTACGCGAGCGACGATGAACACACCAACGATACCACGACAGCCCCCACGGGGGCGGCAGGTAATCCCATCCACCAACAATAATGTTGCAATAAAATGGTACGTTCCTAAGCAATAATTTTTTTTATGGATTCAATTGCCTAGAAACGCCCATGTTTGTTGCATAGGTAATTGGTACGTTGCTAAGCAATAATTTTCTATGCCTTTTGTTGCCTAGAAACGACCACCTTTCATGGTACATTTGACTATTTCAAAAATTTAGATTACCACGCAACGCCGTCTTGATTTTTTAATTTTATCAACGAAAATGGTACATTAAACGACCTTGAAATTGAAATTGCATATTTTCAAGGTGATGTGAGTAAAAAAAGTAAATATTACTATTTGAAACATGAATATGTACTTACAAGAGGCGAACATGGTGTTGCTTTTTCCATTATTATTCACGAAACTAGAATGAAATTCGATAATTATTCGCAACAAATCTAATTTTTTGTTATCGAATGTTGCAATGTTGAATTTTGTTTAATCTGTGATTGGAGTTGTGATTAAGTGTTTAAAAAAAAAAATAGGAGTTAGTGAGCCCGAGAGTAGCCCCTTGAAGTTGCTCCCTCGTCTGGTGAAGCGGTCAACGAGTATAGACATCACCCCAAACCCCAATATTGATGCTTCGCCCCCTTCAGACCCGTGGCGATTTTTCTCCGATATCAAAGTAATAAAAGTCAAAAAAAAAAAGGGATTTTGGAGCCTTCCCCCACCACTATGACGTAGTGATGATCACGCATGCGTACTAATAAAGTCATAGTGGTGGGGGGATGTTGCAAAATCCCCTATTTGCACTACAAAACGTCCCAATTTCAGGGTAAAATAACGAAAAGTGTCGAGGATAAAATCACTGAAATAAAATCGCGCAATCATGAAGAAGGTTCACCGCTTCGAACCTCGAAAGTAAAAGATAGTAAAGAAAATTCGAGTTTGTCCGATTCGGAGGATTTATCTGAGAGTAGTATATCGAAAACTTGTGGTATTTTTTCGACAACTGAAGGCGCGGAAATGTCGAGTGACGATGATGACACTCCCTCGATCGAAAAGGATCGAAATGTGGGTTTGAGACAACGATTCAGGTTGCTCAAGTCGAAGACAGGGGGCGCTAGAGAAGGGACAATCAGTCGGAAGAATTTAGCGAGTATTTATAGCATAAATAATGATAAAATCGAGCAAGCTTTGCCTGAAGAAAATGACATTGAGAGTGCCGTGGATGCGTTGGAAGAAATCGGCGCGAATTTTAAAATTCTCAAAGAGATTGAGCACGATTTTGATAATATTAAAATCGACGAGGAGAATGTTGTTAATATTAAGGAAGTGAGTGGTGATGAAATGAAGGAAAAATCCATTGTTTATGCACCGGTGGGTTTTGTGGATTTGAGAGGGAGGAATACAATTGAAGGAAAAAAAAATATTTCCACTAAAGGGTTTCACTTTATTGCAGTTCTCTTCTTCTATGTTTTGATTCATAGTTATTCGAGTTATTTGGCTGGTTTTTTGATCGGTGTTTTTGTGACTTGTGTTTTTTATTATGTGAAAATTTTACTCGAGACTCCGGCTAAAAGTCCGCCGATTGCCGTTCCGACTTCTCGAGATATTTTGCAAATTCCAGCAGTGAAAGAATTTCAACCGTTGACTAAATACGAGGGTTGGGTTAACGAATTTCCCGATAATTACAACCCCCACACTTATCACATAAGTCAGACTCAATCGGTGTTTTTGCGTCTGCAAGGCAATCTCCTTCGGTTGAGTCACACTAAATCGAAAGTGGCGAAAAGGGCGCTTTGGAACGAGCCGAAAATCAAACCGATTTTTACACATCATCGTGTTTATAATTTGTCTGGGGCTCAAGTGGAGTTGTTGCCTGTGGGGTTGGCGAAAAAGCGACATTGGAGTAAGAAATACCCAATTTGTGTCACGTTGAATAAGGACCAAATGGATTTTGTTGAATCGCCGATTGAGAAAAAACGGAATCAAGGGAGTAAGAAAAAGTTCTCGATTTTGGCACAAAGGTTTAGTAAATTGACGGAGGAGGAGAATGAGGATTTTGAGGGGGATTCGGAGAATTCGAGGGCGAGTAGTCCCTCACCTCTCTCACCAGATGATTCGGTTAGTGATGAATTTTTTATTTTTATTTTTTTTTAATTTAAGTAATTTTTCAAGGATGATAAATTGTTAAATGAAGCTTTGGACGATGCGTTGAAAGATGAGGAAAATGAAGGGTTACTCGACGATGAGTTTGATTCAATTCCGGACGATTGGAGTGCTCTAACACCACCAGATGTATTTTATATTTTTTTAACTAGTCGGGTTTTTTAAACGGAAAAGTCAAAATTTTGATAAAATATCTTGTGCCTAAGGAATTACAATTTAAATTTGAAAATATTTACATTTTTCCTAATTAATTTTATTATTGGAATATAGGATACTTAACTATTAGCCTCGGCTTCGTCTCGGATATACTTCTAATTTGAAGAACGTTTTTGAATGCAAATTGGTAAAAAAAACGTATTTTGAGATTTTTTTTTAGAAAGTTTTAACTATTTTAATTAAATAATTGGTAGAAGTTTTCAATTAAAGTATTAAATTGGAAAATATAGTATTCTGTATTTTATGTTTGTTGGTTATCATTAAAAAAAGTTTTGAAAAAAAAATTAAAATAAAAATTTTGCATAAAGAGAATACTATGAATTTTCAAAAACTGTTTTTTTTTGTTTTTTTAGTTTGGTAATCATTAAAAAAATATATAACTACTAGCCTCGGCTTTGCCTTGGTAAGTTTTTTATATTAATTTTAATAACTAATAATTTTAAAATATTTTTTTATGAGAGTACATAATTGCAACTTATATTTGAAAACACTCATATTTTTTATCTAGTTTAATTTTTATTATTAGGAAATACAGAGTGCGCCAAAACTCGCGTCCCAGACCAAAATGCCATATGAGATAAGATACCAGGAATATAGAAAAATAAAAAAAAAAATCCAAGTTTTTTTTGCTACACGCTATTAGAAGTGGAAACAAGGAAGCTGTATCTTGAATTGTAAATAATTATCAAAAAACAAGATCATGAGTGTCATTAAATAGACATAAAAAAATGTCAAATGTCAAAAAAATAAATTTTTTGACAGATAGAATTTTTTACATGTTCTTAGAATCTTATCTTACTTGAAATTTTTTCGGTGTTTTGAGATTTTGTGAGACTCTTAATTAAATTCTCAAAGTAATTACAAATTTAATTAGAAAATTCCGCCAAATTTCCAAGTTTTTTGCTACAAGAAGAGGAAACAAGGAAGCTGTATCCTAAATTGTAAATAATTATAAAAAAACAAGATCATCATTATCATTAATTAAATAGACATAAAAAAATGTCAAAATTTTTGACAGACAGAACTTTTTAAACATTTTTTTCCATGTTCCTGGAATCTTATTTTGAATTTATTTCGAAGTTTTGAGATTTTGTGAGACTGTTAATTAAATTCTTAAAGTAATTAAAAATTGAATTAGAAAATGCCGCAAAATTCCCTACTTTCTGAAATTTATTTTTTTTTATTTAAAAATGGTGCAAAGTAGAAAAAATACTGTATGATACCTCATTCAAAAACTGGATTTGCCAATGGTGCCAACGTTAAGACTGTTTGACATTTCCGTTTAAAAAAACAGACTTTGCTAATTATCACAAGTGATAATAATACGTTGTAGGAAAGTCCAACTCAAACGAAATTATTTTTGTTCGGACGAACTGATCGAGAGAAAGAAGACTGGTTTAGGAGACTTAAAGCGGCCACTCACAAAGGGGGCAACTTACCCTCAAGTGACACAAGTGAAGTTTTGACCGAAACCGACTACATAAAATATATGATGATTTTCAATAAAGTAAGCATTGAAATAAGAAAAAAACATTTTTGTGTATTTTTTTTTTCTAGATTAAGGTCGAAAGTGACGTTCAGTGGATCAACTCTTTGGTGGGACGAGTCTTTTTCGATTGTTTGCGCGACGAGAATTTCACTCAAGGACTCAAGGATAAAATCCAGAGTAAATTATCGTCGATTAAGCTTCCCTATTTCATTGAAGGTTTAATGGTGACTGAGCTAAATCTGGGTAAAACCCCCCCAGTGATCCACAAAGCCACCAAACCGAATTTAGACGAACGCGGCTTGTGGATCGATCTCGATGTAACATACGAAGGTTTAGTCGTCTTAATTTTACAAACAAAACTCAATTTAATGAAACTAAAACAGCCCCACTCGAACGAAACCACCAAAGAACGTTCAGCCATGTTCAATTCCGACGTGGAGGATTCCCCCGAAAGCACCTCCGATGAGGAAACCCCCATTTTCCCCAATCCTCCAACACTCGAGTCCGGTAATACGAGTAAAAAATTCATCAAAATGGTAGATCGCATAGCCGAATCCAAGTTTTTCCAAGCTGCGACCGAATATAGATACATCAAGAAGGCAATGGAAGGGGTTTCCAACACCGATTTGCGACTCAAAGTCGAGATTAAAGAGTTGGTGGGGACGTTAGTTTTGAATATTCCATCGCCGCCTAGTGACCGGATTTGGATTGGGTTTAGGCCAACCCCCGAGCTGGCTCTGGGGGCGCAACCCATCGTCGGTGAACGGAATATAACCTTCCTGAGGATCACCAGTTGGATTGAGAAGAAATTGCGTTTGGAATTTCAGAAATTGCTGGTGATACCCAACATGGAAGACTTTATTGTACCTGTGATGACTCCCAAATTACCCGAATAAGTGATAATAGTACAGGGCACGCTTTCGTCTAGTCTCGATGTGAATAAAACCTTCATTTTTCTATTTTGCGTCAACTGTCTAGTGTATTTTTTGTTTCATTGTTGGTGACGTCCAGTGTTGCCAGCTCAAAACAATGAAATTCACTGAAAACTTAACAGATTTACACCTATTCTCACCAGATTACAATATTTAAATTTTTTTAACACTGTCGAAGCATAAATCTCGCAAAACTGCTCCAAAATGTGCGAAAAATTCGAAAACAGGTAATGTTATTTCATTTAGTCTAATTCTATTAATTTTTTGGTTAGTTTTTAATTAAATTTTGCAAAATATCGATTGGCAACACTGAATTAGTGGTAATCCTTCTAAATTTGTCAGAAATGTCGCAAACGAATGACAATTGACTATAAAAGTTTGACGTTTGAATTTGAAAATCAAGGTTGCCAAATTAAATTTTTAATTTAAGACCAAATCATTTATAGTCACCCAACCAATATTTTATTTGATGTTTTTTTGGTTTGTTTTAGGAAAAACTTGCAATTAACACCATTTTCATCTTAATTTTTTGACAAAATTTCACTCAAAAAGTGTTAAATCGAATGAAACAAACGAAATAACATCGATTTAGATTTATTTTTGTTGTGTTTAAGAATGTTTTGACAATATCCTGCAAAATAAATGGAGCGAGACACGCTAAAATAATATCAATTTCAATCTAATTTGATAATTTTTCGGTCAGTTTTAGCAAACATTTGAATGTATTTTAAAAACGTGCTGAAACCCTGTAAAAATGCAAAAATAACACTAGTTTTGGCCTAATTTGATAAATTTTCGGTTTGTTTTTAACGAAATTTTGGAAAATAGTTCCGTTTCTGGCTAAAAACATACTAAAACGCTCAGAAATTGACAAAATAATGTACTTTTTGACCCATTTTAGCGATTTTTTTACCTTGTTGAGTGAAATATCACTTAGAAAAACAAAACTATCTCTCGATTTTTCTATTTGAATTTGAGAAAATTTAGCATTTGAGTTTCTGCATGGTTAAAAAAACGTGCAAAATGCTCAAAAAAAATACAAAACGTTTCCGAAAAAACTATCAGGAATTAGAATTTTTACAAAAGTTTTCACTAAATCATTAAACTAGTATAAAAAAATCCCCTGGCAACACTGACGTCAGTTCGACCAAAATTCCCTAAATCTTCTCGCGCAAAATAGAAAAAACATTATTAGACAGCAATAATTTGTTCCTCAACTCGCCGCTTCGCGGCTCGTTTCGGAACAACTTTTGCTTGAATGGATTATATTTACGTTCAGTATGAAAAAAAAAAAACTAATTTTGTAATTTTCTACCAAAGGACCAAATCTGTGAATTGTTAGATATTTTTAGAGAAATTATTTGATGACTTCCTTGATGCATTTACTTAGTTGAATTTTTTTCAGTACAATAAACTCCTACAAGATTGGGTGTTGTAATCGGTGAGCCTTGAGACACTCCACCGAACAAAACCTATTCCCCAGGTACTCAAACGGTACTTTTCCTGTAATATCACAAGCACATAGAAAACACCGCGTTATTACAGTCCCGGACTGACTTAAAATCCTGCGTTCGGCGGCCAAAGCCCGTTTTTCGCGATCACTCAGTTTCAGGAATCTTTCTTTTTCCATTTCTTCGCGTTTTTTGACCTCATTTTCCCGTTTTTTAATCTTCTCTTTTTCCTTTTTGATTTTCCTTTGCGCTCGCTTCTTCTCGGCTAATTCCTCCGGTGTTAGGACGTTGGTCGGTATTTGGGCCTTGTTGTAGTTGTATTTTTCGGGGAAATCCCGCGCGAATTGTTTCAACGTTTCCCGAATTTCCCTACTCTGTGTACAGGTGTAGGGAGTTTGTTGCTTGTGGTTTTTCACACAGGGATTGGCCCCTTTTTCGAGTAGAAGAAACTCCAGTGTTGCATTTTGTTCGTTCATTGCGGCGATGTGAAGTGAAGTATTCCCTTCATCGTCGATAATTTCATCAACATTGTCGTTTATAAACCGTGATAAGGCGGCAACGTCGCCTTTTTGCAACACTTGGATTAAGTCTTGTTTTTGTTTCGTTTTAGTTTTTTTCGGTTTTCTTTTCTTTCTCTGTTCGGGAGTGAGCGTGTCCTCAAACTCCTGGAGTGACTCGACAAACGAAATTTCCGTATTTTCACTCGACAAGTTTAAGGCTTCATCATCGGAACTACTTTCATGAGTGACGGGTAGAGGGCGCTCTACTATTTCCCTAGATTTGGCCCTATCAATACACGGCGACTTGATTTTGCTCCGTTTTGTGTTTTTTCGGCGTGTGAAATGTTGAATTGCTGTCTCTAACGAGTCTGAAATGGGAAATTTTCATCGAATTATTTTCGTATCAACAATAAATTACTCCCTAGGATTTAGGGATATTCGTGAATAGGTTGCCATAGATTTGGTTAGGTTGGTTTTTAGTGACAAACAAAAGATATCGGAACTAGTGTCAAAAATTTAGGTTAAGTCACCTGTCAGTTTGTATAGAATAGTTGACAAAAAACGTCAACCGTCAACAACAAGGGGTAACCAACACTAGGCATTCAAAATTACTTCTGAAAATTCTAGTTACAAACAACATGAAAAACGTAATTTTCCTAAAAATTCAAATCCTAGGTGGTAATTTCTTGTTGACAAGTCTTTATGACCCAAAATTGACTTACGATACACTTGGGCCGTGGTCATTTCCAAATGGACTCGTTTTACTTCGGTAAAAGTCGCCCTTCGAGTCGAAAACGGGATTGTTCGTAGTCTAGTATCGTTTTTGTCAAAAATGGGGGAATTACCCCCGAAGAGAACCCCCCGGTTGTAGGGCCCCGCAGCCCTGTATAAAATAAGTGCGCATTGATCCAATTGTGTTTTCCACGTGTCAATAATTCCTCTCACGTGTTGTACTAAAGCTTGTTCGTTGTAGCGTCTCAAAGACGCCCCTGCACTTTTGGGGCCCGAACCCCCACTTTTACTGTCACGGGAGGATTGGACCCCCCCTTGACCGGCCCTTACCGTGTAACAATGAAACGTTTTATGTGCAACAACCTCGTTGTTATCGAAGACAGCCCCCGCGAAGTGCCCCCCACCCAACATCAACACAGCCCACTTCCGGTTATTGACACAGTCTTGCAATCTCTTCCACAATGTTTCATTTGATAATTCCTCTTTTTTTTGGTAAATCAGACACGAGTATATGGAAAAGACAGTCCCGCAGGAGGATTGCAGGAAGACTTTGCCTTGAGCTGTGGCAAAACTGTCTAAATTGTCGTCTTTTTCCGAGTCTGAGCCCGAAATGCTTGAAATATCGTCATGGGTGGTCTTCTCGTCGAACTCCTCTTCGGTTATTGGGGGCTTTTGGGCCAGGGATTGGCGCAGGTTGTAGCGGTGCCAGTCGAGTTTGTAATGTTCGCGTTGTTGGCACACCTGATCGAATTCTACCCGGCAGTAGGAACAAGCTAGGGAGTTTGGGTTTTCAGGGAGCCACTCGTTCGAAACGAAAGTTTCTACATCTAGGGTGAGATTCATTCAAAAATAAATGTTTCATTCTAGGGAACGTACCTTCAATGTCGTTGTTCTCTAGTAAAATGCTTTTTATTCCAGGTGTGACAATTTCGTGGAACTTTTCATCAAAAATTTTCAAACACTCCATAGTAAACTAGACCGGACATCAAGACTCAACTGTTAATTAATAAATAACTCGCAATGTTGTGAAATCCCAAAAATGCATTACACGTGTCACCAAATTTAGTACCAACGGTACAAAATAAAATTCACCAGTCTCTCACTTTGACCGATTAGAGGTGAAAGCTATTATTAATTTGTGCTTTTACGTTATTTTAATAATTTAAAATAAATAACAAGACACATAAAATGACTCTTAATGTCGTCAACCCAAAAATGTACCAACAAGTCACTAAATTTACTACCAACGATACGAAATAAAATTCACCAAACTTAATTCAAGAAATTTATTGGTTTATTGCCACTTCACATTGTAAATAATTTAATATAAATATAATGAGGTTGTATAATTTAAAACAATTAGTTTCATAACTAATACTTTTGTGAATATAATTACTTACGCAATTAAGAAAATTCGATGTTAATATTCCGCCAGTACATGTAAAAAGCGACTGAGATTCCCATAATGAGTGCAAAAACGTAGTTTAGATGAAACGAATGTCCTGATCGTGACCTACAACCCCCATAAGTCAATCAATTACCAACCTTGCGACTGAAAAATTACTTGTATTTATTGGGCGAAAGGGGGCTTGGTGGTTGCACCCCTGGCACATCCGAGTCCAAATAAACCATCAACCAGGTGAAATAAGTCGTAAAAATGCCACAAACGACGGGTAACCAAACTTTACTAAATTTCACAACATTTTTCCAAACGTGATAATACATCACGTTACCATCGTCATTGACAGTTTCAAACGTAAACAAACGACGTTCGACAAAAAACTGTTTAATGTCATAATCTACAAGATTTTTTTTTGTTTAATTTAAATTTTATTAATGTTACTTACGATGGGCGGAGTAGATTTTCGTCACAATCACTGTCAAAGACAACACTAGCCCCACTAGAGCCAATCTCCACTCGCTCAAAACGGGCTTTTCCGTTTTGAGGTTAGATCTACGTGACGAAAGTGGGGTACTTTCGTACTTTTGGCTCAGTCTTTGCCGCAGCATTTTTCGATTTTGTTACTATTTTGTATTTTGTTTACGTATTTTTGACGTTTGGTGGTGACGTAACAGCGCCGCCATTTTATCCGCCACGTGACCACAAGTCGACCAATCGCGATCATTCTCTACGTGTGGTAACAAACATAAGAACATCGCGGGTTGACTCATCAGTAGTCAGACGACCGGTGGCCGTGTAAGAATGATAAGAAATTAAAAACACGCAAAAAAATATATCCAAAAATGCAAATGCAACGAGAAGTCGGCGTCGGCGATTTTGTCCTTTTGGACAAGATTGATTTAGATAATTTCATGAAAAACCTGGAACTCAGGTGAGTTTTCATTTTTTTTTTTACCTGATCTAGACAACCGTCGGGTGCGACTATTAACATCACAGGTGGCTTTGTTTAATAACAAAAGAAGTACGTCCACGGCACACTTTGATTCGATTTGCGGTTTTGGCATTTTACGCTTCGAATTAGGTAACCGCCAATTATATTTCTTCACTCGAATACGAAATTAATTCGAATTAATAAAACTTTTCTTTTATTTTTTTAATGAGATAAATGAGCGGAACACTTGTTACTTATCTACTAAATATTGATATTAGTGATAGGAGAATGTGCACTTTCGTTTGTTTTATGACATAATTGCTGTTATTTCAAGTTTTCCAAGTAAAATAATACATTTTTCGCATGGGATTACAATCAAGGTGGGTCATGGACGGCGATTCAGGTGTTACCGACCTGAAACAATCGAATTTTTTTCAGGAATATGTTGTTAATTATTCTCCTATCTAATCTTTTATTTCATTCGACAATTCCAAGAGTGCTTGATGCACCCACATGTGTTAAAAACGTGGTGAATCCCCTCACGACACAGATGACTTGATCCAAGTGTTTTATTCAATTTGACAGATAAACATTAAAATGTCACTTTTTTACATCAAATTAGCGCTAATTGTGCCAATAATTAAAACAATATTTTAACAAGACGTCAGTCTAGAGTTTAGTCACAGCTGACTCGATTTGTTTTCTTCTCTGAATCATAATTTTCTCCCAGTGATGTCATCGCCGGTTTAATTAATGCAATTTAGCAATTCTTTTTATTTTGACACATATCGTAAAAGCCATTTAAAGATAAAAAAGATAAGATTACGATTGGGGATTTAAAAATTTAAAATGGATAAATAGATTTCGATATGTGCTATATGTAGGTGTAGAATAATAAAAGATGTCTGGATATGCGTTTGAAATTTATAATAATTGGCGAATAAATCAGAAATTTATGATTTTCTTATTATTGCTGTCAAAAGTTAAATTGCGTTTTTGACAGGTGACATTTATGTATGGTTTTTTTTTGTTTGACTGTATTTTTATGTTGGGTTAATTGGCAACACTGGCGATAAAATGCGTATTTCCTCATTTATAAATATTTTTTAATTGACATTTTTTAGATTAGGAACTGACGAATTGTTTGATTCAAAACAAAATTAATAATTTTTGCAATAATAAAACTTTTAAGGCGGCCGGAAACCTAAAACATTTGTTGTCTTATCTGTGTCGTATTATTTGATAATAAAAGTGCGGATTTTGGTTAATAAACCTTCCACATTCTTTCATGTAGGAAAAGTCACGTCGTCACGATTAAATAACTGTAAAAAAAGTCAAACGGAAGGAGGAAACAAGGGAATTGATTAGTACGCAAAGGACAAGAAAAGTCACTTACATGCCTGAATAACTCGTCGAAAGTGTGAAAATAATGTCGTCATGCGACATTAATAACACACGTGTCATGTGATCTAAAATTGGAAAGGGTGCAAATTGAACCAAATATAAACTCGCAATCAAGTTGCCTGACCCCATAAACCTCTATTTATCGGTTTCAGGTTCAAACATGGCAAGATTTACACCTACATTGGCGAGGTTTGCGTCTCGGTTAATCCCTACAAGACGATGAATATCTACGACCAAAAATTCATCGATCAGTATAAAGGTAATCAATCTAGCCTTGATCCTTATCAATTACTACTTGATAATTGAATTCGCGGTGAAACCGCACCAGATAACGATTGGCGAAAATAAAAAATTGTCCCGCCACTGGATTACTATCGTTGCTAGGACAATGATTTTTTATACCCTTTAGTTACCATGGTTACGTTCATACTACCAGGGCAGTGTTGCCAACTGAGAACAATTAAATTCACTGAAAAGTTACCAGATTTACACCTATTTTACCAGATTATATAATTTAAATTGCAAATCTGCTCAAAAACGTGCTGAAACGCTCGAAAAATTCAGAAATAGATAATGCTATTTCATTTAGTCTAATTTCATAATTTTTTGGCTTGTTTTTAATTAATTTTGTGAAATACCGAGTGACAAAAAATATATTGGCAAAAGTAAAGTAATTCTTCTAAATTTGTTATCAGAATGTTGCAGGCAGTGTTGCCAGATGTGGTGAAATTTCACCAGATCTGGTGGTTTTCGTGTTAGTCTGGTGATTTGGTGAAAACTTTTGTAAAAATTCTAATATCTGGTGATTTTTTTGGAAATGAAAAAAACTGTTTTTCGAGCATTTTCCATGTTTTCAACCAGAAAATTTATTATTTCGTCAAATTTTTTCAAAAAAGTCTGCCAAATTGGTTAAAAATAGTTCTGTTTGCTTTTAACAAGATTTTACTAAATAGGCTCAAAAATGACAATTTATTTTTGTCTTTTGCGACTTTTTCAGCTAGAAACACAATTATTTCTCCAAAAATTCAACAAACTCGACCAAAAACGGCGGTACTTTTGCACTTTTCCAGTGTTTAAGCTCGTTTTTGTGATAAAAACAAAGAAAATTCTAAAAATTTCGTTGAAGCAGGTCACAAAATTTAATCGAAAATGACATCATTTATCATTTGTTTTGGAAAATTTTGTCTAAACACGCTTAAAAAATCACAAAAACATTAATTGATATTGATATTATTTTTTTGATTGTTTCACTCGTTTTAACTAGTTTTTGAGCAAAATAAGACAAAAATAACCCAAGAATGTTCTTAAACACGTTTTTGTAATACAATCTCAGGTCTATTGCCAGATTTCGCTAAAACGAACTGAAAAAAACAACATATTAAGTCGAAAATTGCATTTCTTGACAGTTTTAGCACGTTTTTTTTAGCTAGAAAAGCAATTATTTCGCAAAATTGCATTAAAAACAAGCCAAAAAACAAAGAATTAGGCCAAAAATAATATACAGAGTGATTCTTAAATAGACCGACAAAATTTTATCACAGCTTCCCAACGATAAATGGAGGCAAACTGTACGATTTTTACGTTTAAAAAAAAAAAGATTATACTATGATATTTTTAACTCTTATTAGTCTTTAAGTTGATCATCTCTTTCTTTTTCGAATGCTTTTTAGCAAAATTTTGTTAATAGCAAGTCACAAATTTAGCAAAGTAGCCTAAAAACGGCATTTTTGGCCTTTTTCGAGTGTTTAAGCATATTTTTGAGAGATAAAAACACAAAAAGTTCGAAATATTGCGTTGAATCAGGCTGAAAATTACAAAATTAAATCGAAATTGAACAATAGGTTCATTTATTTTGCAAAATCTTGTCTAAATACGCCTAAAAAAATCACAAAAAGGATTGATATTGATGTCATTTTGTTTACTTCACTCGATTTAACTGGTTTTTGAGCAAAATTAAGACAAAATAAGCTGAGAAACTACAAAACTTGGCCGAAAATGCTTTTAAGCACGTTTTTGTACTAAAATCTTAGCTTCTTCGCTAGATTTCGCTAAAACAAACTATACTACAATCAAGAAATTAAGTCTAGAATTACATTATTTTTGCATTTTTCGAGCGTTTTAGCACGATTTCAGCTAGAAACGCAATTATTTCGCAAAATTTTGTTACAAACAAGCCGAAAAAATCACAGAAATAATCCGAAATGCATATAATTTTTGCTTTGTTCAAGAGTTTAAGCGGATTTTTAAGCGTTTTTTGTGAGATATAGCCATACAAATTGTAATTGTGATCTGGTGAAAATTTGGCGAATTTTTCAACTCGTATTTGGTGAATTTTATGTTTTTGATCTGGCAACACTGGTTTCATGTGACGGCTTAATCAGCAATCGCCCATCGCAAATTAATGACAGTTGCCTATAAAAGTTTGACGTTTTAATTTGAAAATCAGTGTTGCCAAATTAAATTTTAAATTTGACACCAAATCATTTTCTCATTGAAAAACATGCTAAAAAACTTGATAAAGACCAAAATAATGATTTGATTTGATGTTTTTTTGGTTTGTTTTAGCAAAATCTTGCAATTAACACAATTTTCGATCATATTTTGTATTTTTCGTCTTATTTTTTTGAAAGTGTTAAATCGAATGAAACAAACGAAATAATATCAATTTAGATTTATTTTTGTTGTGTTTTTGACAATATCCTGCAAAATAAATGAGTCTCTGGTTCAAAAACGAACTAAATCAAGCGAAACAAGCTAAAATGCTATCAATTTCAATCTAATTTGGTAATTTTTCCGTCAGTTTTAACAAAAATTTGAATGTATTTTAAAAACGTGCTAAAACACTCTAAAAATGCAAAAATAACACTAGTTTTGGCCTAATTTGATAAATTTTCGGTTTGTTTTTAACGAAATTTTGCAAAATAGTTCAATTTCTGGCTAAAAACAAACTAAAACGCTCAGAAATTGACAAAATAATGTACTTTTTGACCCATTTTAGCGATTTTTT